AAAAAAAAGTATGTTAACTACTTATATGCTACAGTGACATGTTACTGAGAGATTGCTTTGCACAGTCTGTGCAAGGGAGGGTTAGGGCCACACTTTGAAACATAAGGGCAAAACAAAATGCTAGATTGGCTTCTTATTGACTTCTTTCCCACACCCCACTATACAAACCTGGCATGCCAGAGAAAGAATAGCATGAACTCCTGCGATTGAAGATTAATTCAGATTGCATTCCTATAAGGAACAGGGAAGGAGGGATTAACTTTATATTAATATATTAAAAGTTGGCATAATGTAAGTTCTTGGTATTAGCCGTTGCTCTTTTATGCTATATAGACTTCTTTGAACGCACATAGAAAGGAAGAATTAAAGTGTGCTTTATTCCCAGTTTTTCAGTTTCAGCCACTGGAGGGCAACATGATCCCAGTCACCTAGGCACAGCAAGCACTGCAACCTGCAGAAATGGGTAGCGGGCACCCAGCAAGCACCACTTCTGCAGATGAATTTCACAATAAATTAAGACAAAATTCAGAATTTATATATACTTTTACATTGCATTTTTCTGGGAGGGTAGATCTGAAAATTTCTTCGTACATCTAACATGTATTCATCTGGCTTTCTGCTTAGGATGATGTGTTCATGAGTTCTAAATCCGTGGATTAGAGAAAAAAAAAAATAATGGAGGTAATGTGAGGACCACTCAAGCCTGGTATCACGAGAGGTGAAATATTTCCCTCTGCTAAGTAACTGAAAACCTGACCCATGTCTCTATTCTTGAAATAACTCTGGCAGATTTCAATGGATTAGCTGTTAAATCCATTACAACAAATGATTCCTTTATGACGTATTAGAGGACTGTCAGCAGCATAAGGTCTGATTTTCTTTAAAATTAATACAAATAGTTTGGCCTAACTGAACTCCAGAGCATCTGGGTTCCTGGAGAGGAGCAGAGAGCTTGTGTCAGATACGCTTGCTTTGGGGAAAGCAACAGCCCAGTGAAGTGTTTGAAAGAAGTTAAAGCCAGTATTTTAGGAAGAAGTAACAAGTACAAAGTCAATAAAATGAAACAGCACCTTAGAAACTGGGGGTGGGGGGGAAGAGCAAGCTGCATTATAGGACACAGCAAAATAACATTTTCCAAAGTCTTGTATTGGCTGCTGTTTCAGGTTTCTGCTGTTTCAGAAGCAGAATCTCATCCATCTTGTTCTCCACATGCTCTTCATTTCACAATCTTTCTAAGTCACCTCTCCCTGTGCAGTAAGGCTTTGTTTGCAGCCATTAGCAATCCAGCTGTGTTTTCAGCATCTCTGGAAAGCAGTTTCACGCAGTGGGATTGTTCTGGACAAGCCAGTTAGGATAACTCACTGTGTGAAGGATTTGTTTTGTGGATGCACAAGGATAAGCATTTAGTGTCCTCCCGCGACCAGCACCATACATGTATACACATGTATACACACACATGCTGTCTAATAGTCCAGTTTAATCCTCACAGCACAGGATGTTGTTACTTATCTATCCAACCAGACTGCAGGAGGTGATAGGGGGAGAGTCTTCAGCTGCCAAACAAGGCTCTTTCTGAACTGGGAGAGAAGATGATATTTTAAATCCCTATTTGTTTGCCTGCACCTGAAAGCAAATTGAAATCAGACTGAAAGGACAGAAATCTGGATTTTTAGAGAAATATCAGCCTTAATGCATTTTAAAAACAGAGCATTGCAACATGGAGGATGGGAGATCATGTTTTAAAGCTTTTAATTCCTGCAGGTTCCCATTTTGTGCAGCTTTGCAGGACCAGCAGCAGTGTGAAGTCAGGAGCTGCTATTTCAGGGGGAAGAGAAAGGGATTAAGTGCGTTTCTTTGTACAAATTGATGCTAACCTATGACACTAGCAGACATATGACAATGTTAGATGTAGAGGCAGGGGAAGAATAATTTCAGGTTTTCTCTGTCAGTTATTTTTGTCAGGAATTCCTTGGAGGGAAGGAAGACATCAAGATTGACAACTGCTGATTTCTGCAGGTCTTTTGTACTAGGCAGACATTCAGATTTTTAGAACCTTCAATTGAAATAAATGGCAAATTTAACCATCAAAAGAGACTTGATTTTAGGGTGGAACTGGAGAGTCAGAGCAATCCTGCTGTTACTGTGTGGATGGCTGAGGTCACCACCACCACATGAAACTTGCCTTATAGATGTTTCCATATTAGAGTTCATCACTTCAGCAGTGTGTAATTGCATTGTAGATGAGTAGTAGTATTACTAATGACCACAGATGTCATTTAGCAATGACACTACATGTGCCTTGGGATGATACTGCTTGCTATATTAAATATTTAACTTTTTTTTTTTACTACATGCAGTTACTAAGAATTATTTCGGCTCATTTGTGAAGTCAGAGGGGAGCTCATTTGGATAAATTAATGGAGGTTAAAATCGCTTGTATTTATTAATTCAGTATGCGACTTCTACATGGTTAAAGTGTTAACAAAAATCTCCATTATGATGGAAGGATATTCTAATAACTGCCTGTAGTTACAAAGAGTGGCTTGCTACAAATTATTTAAATACATTATAGTGAAAGACATTAGAGGCTAACACTTTTGTAGTTTAGGACAAGTAACGTATTTTAGAAAGAAAGATTGAATAAAAGGCATGCTCTCTTTAAGCCAACTACCCCAGGAGTTGCTGGATTCATGCTCAGCATTGACACTGTAAAAGCCATTCAGCTTGCTTATATTTGGGGTTGTCAGGATCTCAACTGCAGGTGATTCAGATAACCGGGCTTGAATAAATTAAGGTATGTGCTATGTCATAATAAGCTAGTTTGCTGTTATTTTGTAATAGAAATATTTGATTCATTTACCTTACCACTGCAGGAGCAGAAAGAATTTGATGTACACATGAAGATAGTCAAAAGGCACCTTGAACTGTATTGGTCTTAATAAACTGATGGAGGAACTTGTAATAAACCAAGCCCTGAGGGAACATATTGCCTGGGAGGTGGTTTTATCCTATTTGCCAGGCAGAACATACTATCACATTCAATAGTTATTCTTCTTTACCTCGTGAAGTTTAATTTCCACCTGGAAGAAATGGTTGGGAAAAGGAGCCCTAAGACAGGGAGGTCACATTTGAGCAGCATCATTGTATCTCAGAGGGCTCCAGGTCAAATTCATCCATGGCATACCTGATTTCAATGGAAGCAAGCCACAATGGATTTTAACTGCTCTATTTCTGGCGGAAGGTTTTATGTTTTACCACACTAAAAGCAAGAGCATTTTTTTAACACAGGGGCAAATGTTATTGTTGGCCTGGCTCAGATGTTCTCCTCATTTTAATGCATTTTGACAGACTTCAGCTACTGTGCTAATGATAAGAAATTAGGAAGACTGAAAGTAATGGAACTGGGTGACTAAGGGGGACCCATTAGAGCCCCTCACTCCTCATTCTCTGGGTTGCTTGTTCACATGCAGTCACATCACACCTGTTTATGTGAAAGGATGCCCAGGGGCTTTTTCAGCCCCCTGGCAGTTTACCCTAATCAAACACATAATCACAGGCTCTCCCTTATCTTTAAATGGTTGCCTGTCAGAAGAGAAATTATCCTCTAGTAGGGAAGGCAAGCAAACTTGATGTCCCTTCTAATTTGCCAAATTAATTGGAAAGTTACATTTCTAAGTGGATTAGCCCCCACTTTTGCTTCAACCTTTCTCTGAGTTCCCATTTCCATATAGGGAATAAATTTGGATGGACTAATCTGTTCAGAAATGAATCTGCCTTAATATCACTGTCTTATACCACACTGAAAACTCTTTAGAAGGAAGGAGGAATGGCACTGGTCCAACAGATTAATTCACTGCCTGTGTCAAAAGGGGCTTGCATAAGCTTTGAGCAAAATTGTGTCCATCACAGTGCAGGAATGTGGGCTTGTGCATCCTTTTTTTTCTCTTTAATGCTAGCATAATTGCAGGCTTCAGTGTGCAAGAGCAGACTGTAGTGGCTTTTCTTAACTATTGCTGCAGCTTCGAAAAGGCATCCACGGGGTTGGCCACACAGATCCACAGAGCAGCCCCTGCTGTTAATCTCAGAGTGACAAATTGCAGGATCCCAGCCTCAGAATTAAAGCACTAGCCTGAAGCACAGTTCACACTGTTCATTGTTTCAGCTCTTGGAGAAACTGAATGGAATGGGTAAGTCAGCAGGCAGAATTAGCCTGCTGGTGAAATACTTGATACAATCATACAGGTGTATTTTGCCTGATGCAAAGGTCTTCAATAGCAGTCTTTCCCACTGCCAACCATTATCTTATCAAATTATTACCTTGTACCTCAAAGGTGAGACTGGAAAGGCTTATTAGCTAATTCTCTGGGTCCACTTCCTCCATCCCACCCTGCCATACCAGCAAGTTGGGTATCCTTCACCAGGTTCTCCACTGGAGGTGGAAGTCCCATGCATGGAATCCTGTTCCCTTGGCAATGTTGGCAGCAGGCATCACACAGTAAGCAGCTGGTATTTCCAACTGTTGTGCTGGACATGGCACTACTAGTTGGAGGACTCTAAAAGTGATTCTCCTTTGACTCATCAGAGACATCTCTGGAGTACTAACAGGTTATAAGAAATCTTCCCAGCACAGCTGTAAATAGCATCTCCAAGTCACAGACACACAGACCATATTTGTAGAGTTAAATATATACTTCCTATTTTGATATAGAACTGTGTCCCTCTCTACAGATCCTTGGAGCTAAAGCCAAACAGATACTCACGAGTGAAATTAAATTAAAAAGCTTTCATTTGTGTTCTCTTAAGTAAAACGAAAGAATAACCCAGAGCCAAGAGATATGGCAGCTCTGGACAGGCAAAGGTTAATAAAACTGAGATCAATTTCAGCCACACTTTAAAGTGGGTCTTGAAAGTTAATGACTTTTAATCAATTACCAGTATGAGATGACTGTCCATCCCACAGCACTGTTTTTAACACAAAATCAAGCAGAAGCACGAAAACATTCTTCTAAAGCCATGTACATCTTTATTCTCCACCCAGGCCAGCAAGGATGGGAAAAGAGAATGCAATTAAAAATAACAATCAGCAAACACACACTACCTTTAATTAAAAAAAAACAACCCAAAACCATCCAGACTAGAGCACAGCCAGGAACATACTCAACATCAGAATAACTGGAATTCCCTGCAGTTTGACAGTGGCACATAAGCAAAAATTACTTGCGAGTTTCTGAAAGCAAGGGCAGAACAAGACAAAAACTTGTGCTTTTTTCTATTACAACAACTGATAATGATTATATATCTTGCAGCAGACAAACCACTTCAGGGGATAACGGGCAAGAGAGAAAACAAAACTATCCAGAGTTGTTTTGAGAAGAGCTGGAATAAAACTTTTACAAATAGCACCAGAACCAACCCCAAGCTTAAACTAGCCCCAACCAAAATCAATGTCAGAATACCTTGACATCATCAGGAGCAGAGGCAAGCTTGGTTAAGTGTAAAGAAGTAGAAGACACACAATGGATTGTTCCAGTATATCCCCAAAAAGGTGGCCTCCAACCCCAGAAGTGTAGCTGCCACGGCAGAGGGAGGGTACTACGACTTCTCTGACAGTCTTTTGTGTCTACGTAGCAGTAAGAGGCACAGATTTGGTTTTGTCTCCACTCTGGCAGGCTGTTTGCAATCCTAAAAGCAAATCCTGCAGCTCAGCCAACATTTCACATGGCTGTATTCTGTAATGAGCTAGTATTTATCATTCAAGCCCTCTGTAAGATGAAGACTCTTTGTGCTCTGACCCCAGCCTTTCGTCTAGCCTTGAACAGCTGCTCTTTGGCAGTGACAGCTGAATTGGGTTTTCTCCCTCTGCAGCAATGCACATTTGCCAGTCATCCTTTCCCCAAACCCACTTGTTTGCTGCATGTTGGGGTCAAGATACACAATGCAGTCCTTTCATGCCTGCAGTGTACCTCTAGGCAAAGCCTGAGAACACTTGCCAACAGGCCTGCCTTCCCATTAATGCTTGTTAAGCATCACTTCTTCCCACCCTCTGGCCATGTGAGAGCCTGTGATTTTCATGTGGAAGAAGTAGAGTGGCTGTGCTGGGTCACTACAAACTGCTAGCACAGGCATGACTGATCCTCAGCTTCTCTATTAATTCAGAGGCATATCAAGCCTGATTGAAACAGCCATGTGAAAAGGATTTCACTGCTTGAACTGGTCCCAGGCATAAGTCAGCTTCTTTGAACCCCACTGAATTACCTGCCACTAAGTTGGGGTCTATTTTATATTGGGGTTTTATGTTTTGTTTTGATTTGGTTTTCTGAAAGTTGGTCATTGCCTTTAAAGATTTAGCCAGTAAAAACTGGAAGCTGTGTATCAGCAGGCAGCAAACACAGCCTGGCTGTTCCCGTCCCCAGGGAGCACATCTGCTTTGCCAGTAAAGTGTGGGGCCAAACCTGCTTTTGATATTTAGCTATTCACTATTGGCTGTAACTATTCAAACTGCTAATTCTTGAGACAGCGCTAAGAGCCTGCTTTCGCTGGATCTCCCGGAAGGGGACAGACCAAAGATGCAGCAGGGACTTCACTTATTTATGTGTCAGGCCTAGATGATCAGCAGACTTGTTTATACATCACCAGTTCCCAAATGTCCTAACCAGGACAGTCAGTGAGTGTAGTCTTGAGCTCATCCTTGGAATACAACACAAAACATTAGTTTCTGTGAAACCCAGCTTCTGAATGTTTCTCTACCATTCTAAAACTAAAGCAGCTCCACCTCTGGTAGGGAGACTGGGGAAGTGAAACACCTGGACAGATATGAATGACTGTGCAGCCTGACTGCACACTACGAACGATCTACCTACACACATGCAAATGTTGGGCTCCTCTGGGTTGGGGCCGAACCAGACCTTTTAGCAGCACCAGCTGAACTGGAGCACTCAGAAAATTAATCATGTTTCAGATGTGTAATTCAGTATCCATTAGAATCTATTACACCTCTCTCATTTTCTTCTAGTCCTCCTAAGGCCCAAACAGAAAATGAACTTTTCTGCTAGTCATCTTTTTAAAGAGACAATTAAAATTTCTCCAGTCTATGGTGGCCACCTCAGTGTGGTCTGGGAGCCCACTCAGACACCATGCAAAGTCCCAAAGGAGGGAAACCAATTATAAAAATGAGACAAGAGGGGCGGAGGATGTATAATCCACTGCTCTTCCACATAATTACCCAGGAAGTGTGTGGGGGATGCAGATTTCCAGAGCTGAGGCACTAATGCGTTTGCACTGGCACTAACAGACATGGGCTCACAGATGTCCCTGTTCTGAAAGGGAAGGTCCATCAGCTCTTTCATAAGAGCAACTTCAAAAAGAGAACAACTGTTTCAGTGAGACCTTCCCATCCCAAGCATCTTCAACATTTGATATGGTTTAGTGGTGGTCTTGGCAGTTCTGGGGTAATGGTTTGACTTGATAATCTTAAAGGTCTTTTCCAATCTAGCTGATTTTATGATTCTAACCCCACCTACCTAAATACAGGTGCTGCCACCTGCATTGCAGTAACATGGAAACTGATTATGCTTCCTCAGAGCAGGTGTTTCTTCCCTATAAATGCAACCGTTGACACTGCACCCTGCATACAACTCTCATAGCCTATTCTTCCCTAGCAGTGCACCTATCAAGAATCAAATGTAGGTGTGTCCTAAGCACCTATTTGTGCACCTGGGGGTGCTTGGTGACAGGCCCGTCAAGTCCCCATGCACCACATTACAAAGCAAGTCTTTCCATCATGTGATGGGTGCATTTCAGTGTAGAGTTCACGTGCCTTTCTTGGAAGCTGTGCTATCCTCTCTCAGAGAAAGACCAGGTCTTTTTGTGCTCTGACAGCATCTAAACAGTTAGCTACCTGGAATGTTTGCTGCACTTGTTGGAAGGACTGGAAAAGGACTATTTTTAGGAAAACTGTAGGAACATCACATGATCTGCAATTTAGCCTTCACCTCTGAATGGGTTCTTATCTCCTGAAGTTCATCTCCTGAGTATGGACTTTTTTTCACGGGGTCAATGGGTCACTGTTATGTCCTACTCCTGAAAAAGAAAGTCTAACTTTACAGAAGTGAGTTTTTCAGCATGTCTCTCTGCTGTGCTACAAACAGCGTGAGCACCACAGACCTGGATTTCCTCACCATTCCTAGAAGTTGTAATTAGCTAAAACAGATGGCAAATCCTTGGAGAGTCATGCACCTCCCCACCCAGACCATGTGAAACTAGCACACTTGTATTCTGTGACATTTAAAGAGCACTCCCAGCCCACTATTTTTTTCATTAAGTTTGTGTTTAAATATATATATATAGAAATTCAGTGTGTTGTTTTTTAGATGAAAACCACTTACATATGACTAAAATAGTCAGCCAGGACAAAGGCTCAGACTGCTGAGGTCTCAACCCCCTGTGCAGAGCTCTTGCCAGAGAGACTACCTGAGATATTATCAGAATCTAGCAGCTCGACAATGCTGTATGGAGAACAATCTTCCAAACCCAGCTTGCTGCAGAGCCAGCCACAGAAGCCCTTCTCCATATCCTTGACAGCATGCCACCAGTACCCAAAGGACCACGCTACCTGGGCCACAGCCGAGTACAGGCCTAGGGAAAAAGACACAACCATAATTATAATTGGGTAGAAGATGATCAGAAAGGGACAAAAGGTGATTTTGTGCCAGAAGGTCCTCTCTTCATTGTACACCAAGAAGATGTTATACCATGTAATGGTTCCATAGTAGAATGAAACCACAAAGGACACTACAAAAATGATGGGGAGACAAATGATGGTCCAGAGGATGATGTGGGGTCCTCTGTCTAGCCCAACATCACATTTCTTCTTCTTCTCAGGTACATCCTCTTTAGGAGGCTCCTTTGACTTAGCGAGTTCCTGCAGCTCTTTGTCCGTTAGTGTGACATGGATGTCCACCATCTGACCCTTCTTCTTTCCTCTGGTGATTGTTCCAGTCAAGGTCACATATCGGCTGTCTAAAGGCATGTTCCAGACACCTACAAACACAGATAAACTCATCTACATTAGATTTATTGTGTAAATCCCCAACGACCCCAAAGACAATTAGATAATGCACAGAGAGTAATAGTTTTTAAAAAGATGGAATGCAAGAAGTAATGCAGTATAGAGAAGATTATCATAGAAGAAAATGGAAGAAGAGCTAATGAGGGAGAAGACAAAATTCCAGAATACAGAAACCACAAGAGAGAAGACTCCAGCATCTGCACTAGGGAAAATGTGTGAAGGGAAAGTACTGCAGGAGTATATGAGAAAGAGATGAGATAGAGTGAATGAATCAAAAATGGTATGCCTATTTTCTCTGGTATCCTCATACATTTATTACTGAACAGTGTGGACACTTGGGGTGAATTAGATAAATATGATTAAAACTCCTGTTCTGGAACAAGCACATCCACACATGGAGTTATATTATATAGCTATAGTATATAGCTATGTAATAGAATAGCTAATTTTTCACTTTACATCTGCATTGTGTCTCAATCCAAAATGATTTTCAAAGTCTAGAAAAAACTTAAAAATTCTCATACAGTTATATTTACATTTTAAGGCACCAACAAAGATACCAAAAAGGTAAGTGTTGGGATGTGTGCTAAAAGTCACAGACTGCCTTGGCTTCCAAGTGACACTAGTTTAGGATGGTCCCTGCAGTAGCACTAGCCATAAACTCTTTTATGGGGCTAAAATATGCTTCCTCTTGGTCTTAAATCTGACTAGCTCAGAAGGAGGTCTTCAGAGGCTACTAAAAGGAGGTTGAGCAGTTAGAAGTGGCCCACAAAATTAAGAAGGCAGCAGATAAGTCCTGAGGATAGAGGCAAGGATCATGGGAGAGTCTGGTGCAGCTGACGGATCCAGAGTATGTATTCACATTTACACCCCTCTCAGCCTGCACTGCTGTTTCACAAGAGGATTAGACATAGGACCTGCCTCCCACACTTCTTCCCTACAGGGGATCCAGGACAGACACCAGAAGTGAAAGTTGCTCCAACATGCCCTACAATGACCTTGCAAATAATCACTCTTAATGAGGAAGCTGTGCTGAGAATATGCAAACAGAAGGCAACAGCAAATCCTAGGTAATGAGTAAAACTCCCTATCATGGGTAGAGCCACTAAATCCATCTGCTTGCATCCTTTCACTTAACAGGCAGTTGTTTCAGGCGTGGAGAGGGCCTGGGGTCACAGCATCACTGGCTTAAAGCACACTCTTACAGCATTTTTCTGGATCAACTCCAATTAGCACATGCATTTTAAACTAAGAGTGCAGCAACAACCAACCTCTGCAATGAACTGCAGGAGACAACCCAGCTCATCCTGTGATGGTTTTTATTTCAGAACATTTTCATGTATGAACTTAAGCTGTCCTTGCCTGCAGACTTGGGGGTAAGAGGTTTGGTCTCACAATCACTCTCATTTGACCTTAGTGCATGCTGGCATCAAAAAGTTTACAGAAAAGTTGGTGCTCCCAGGAATACATACCATCTGCCGTGGACTGACCCAGGAACTTGGAGCCTTCCTCAGAGCCCTTCTCCCCTCCTTCTTCATCTGCCTGTTCTTCTTCCACCTTGTTCTCATTCTCTGACCGATACACTATTATTGACTCAGGACGGGACTCTTTCTTCTTCTTTTTCCTCCGGTCCATAGTGGCTTCCCCATCAAAAGTGACAGTGCTTGCCACAGCCCTTCTCATGGAGCCGCAGCGAGGACTTTGGCTTCCAGACTTGCTCTCTTTCTGCATGGTCTCCTCCATCCCACTGCTGCTTTCAAGCACCTCACTTGACATTTTGCAGCACTTGTTTCCAATTTAACAGCTCCTGCACTTTGAAGTCATTGATCAGACAACAGTGCCAAGGGTTCTTTGTTTTGGTAGGATGTCCCACTGCTGGCATCCAACCTATGCACTCCATTCCCAGCCTAAAATGAGAGAGAAGGCTGAAACAGTGTCTTTTTGTTATCAAGTAGAAAAAAATGGCAGAATTTTCCTGTAAAAGGTTACTTCCAACTGGTTTAAATGTCATCTGAAGATCCTTATTACTGTCCTGAACATCAATTTTATTACATGGATACGTGTTTTGTAGTATCACCTAATCCTGATTCCCATGTTCCAATTTTAAACATAACAAACCAAAGCTGGAAAAGGAAAGAGTATTAACATTTATAAGAAGAGATTAAACAAGCACAGCTTACTGGGTGAATTTAACATTCCCCTGCAATGCTGGAACTAAAAAGAAGGCAATGGTTTGGCCCACATACATGAGAATGAAGAAATGAAACCACAGATGAAAAAGAAGTTGACTGATTTAAAAGACTTGCCTAGATGAGAAACAACTGCAGCAGGAACACTGAGCTCACCCTCCATTACAACAGCTATATTAGTGCTAGCCTTTCTCATTTTGAATGTCTTTTGACCACTGCAAGGACATTACAAAAAGCAACCAAATGATGTCAAAATGAATGATGGTTCAAACCATGCCAATTTAGCATTATGTAGTGCTGTCAAACCTTAAAAATATAGCATATACAGTGAATTTAAAGCAAAGGATGACTTCCCTGGAGGTGGAATTAGAAAACACAGCAAAATTTTCTGATTGTGCTGGGAAAACAACCCAAATCTTCACAAATAATTTTGACAAATATAAGGGCTCAGTGTGTACTCTTCATTCAAGCAAAATTAGCAGCAATATAAGGCGACACTGTTATCTGTGGGAAAGCTGTGTAAGTAAAAGACATATAATTAACCATGCATCAAGGCAGACAAAGCCTTCTCCATAAACATGGAAAAAGCAGGATTATGGGCTCTCAAATTTCATAGGATCTAAGAAACTGACTGTGTATTCAAGAAGTATTTAGGTACAAATTTGAATACACTGAATAATGTTTTAACAACTCTGAAGAGCTCTGTTGAACACTTACATTTGAAAGAATGCATGTGACCAATAATTAAGCTTCTACCTAGTATCTGAGTCATCTCTTTAACAGGAAACTAAGAAACACAGTTATCATAATTTGTAGCCTACACAGTGCTGGGGAAATTTTTTAACAGATGCTAGAAAAAAAGTTGAGCGTTTTTAGATTTGGCAGTATGGTCCTGGTCTTCCCACATATATAAGATTTTGGTAGTTTGTTCTGAAATCCAACTGCAGGTCCTGAAGGAACTGGTGAATGAAGTTGCTAAGACACTGTCCATCATATTTGAAAAATCATGGCAGTCAGGTGAAGTTCCTGAGGACTGGGAAAAGGGAAATATAACCCCCATTTTCAAGGGGCAATGGGTTTAAACTTAAACAGGGGAAGTTCAGGTTAGATATAAGGAAGAACTTCAGTCTTCTCTTGCTCCTGAGCTGAGAAGCGGGAATGGGCAATGGGGGGACAAGCCCCTAAGCAGCGCTGTTGCTGTGGCTGGGTCAGAGCCCTTGAGATAAAGAAGTGAAGGAGCCCAGAGTATTCTGTTTAAGTACAAGCAGGTAAAATCTGATGCCAGTCTGTCCACATCAGAAACAAAAACATGGCAAAGGAGATGCCTTTGATCCAGCAGAGGCGGCTGCAGTAAGATAAAAACCCGAAAGATACAAATATAGGGCAGATGTTAGGTAGGTGTTTAAACAACGTGGGTAGGTGTCATTTGATATACGTCACAGAGGGCTGTGGAGAACTGTCCATAACTGGAAACTTCCAAATCTGGACTGGGTATCTTGCCAGCAGTTGGGTAACCAATATTTCACCCTAAGAGGTATTAATGTGGAAAAGTCCTCTGGCTTGTATTAGAGAGCAGTCAGATTCAAACAGCAAAAAGATTCCTCCTGATATTAAGCCTGCTTTCACAGTAGATGTTTATTTTTTTCTCATCTGTTTCTGCCAGTGGAGCAGCTGGGAATATCCTCTGCCACCTGGTCCAGGCTTGAACACAGCACTTAGAAATAACACCATCAGCCCCACGTCCCACAGGGTTGCTGGTGAATCAGACAGGTTCAAGCCTCAGTTCCATTTTTTCTGGGAATATTTTCTCTGTAGATGCAAACAAAAAATGGGCTCTTGCAGAAATCACAGTAGTGTACACAAAGTTTATTTTTTCTCTCTTCCTTTTCTTTATGTCCCATAAGAACATGACCAGCCCTCACCACCACACAGCTGTCCACAGCACCAGCTCTTTTAGGACATACACCGAGATCTTCAGTCCTTAAAAGCTTTGCTGTGGAGCTGAAACATGGCAATTGCTGTGCACCTAATGCTAGTGATGTCTCCCATGTTGGCAGCACAGGGGCAGACAGGAATCTAATAACTGTCCATAGGAGGGAAGGAAAAGAAATGGTCACATTTCAGATATAGCTGGGAGCAGTTTATTAGCCAAACAATTTGTTATTAATATCCATGTGAAAACAGATGGAGAACCCTGGGGAGGCGGCTCCGCAAAAACACTCTGTAGAGGAATTTTTAGAAGCATAGTCTTCTGTTACTATGAAGGAAAGCTACTGCTGCTTATGCTTCCCATGACAGTATTAGTCTTTGACACACAAAACAGGAGCCTAAAAGTTTGGCCTTGCACCATTTAGGTCAGAGGAGGTTTTTTCCCATTGGTTTTCACAGCCTGATCCTGCTGCTAACAGAAGAGAAATTATCTGGTTTGAATACAGACAGGAAGGAAGAGCCTTCCCACAAGCTAAAAAAAAATCCTTGATCTTAAATCCTGCTACAGCACAAGTAACCTTTTTATGACTGCTCAGAGCAGACATGTGAGCAAAAAACATAGATAGTAAGCAGTGAGGAGCATCAATTCTTATTTTAATGGTCATATAAAATGTACAACATGTAAGAACTAGCAGTGTCTTCACTCACATGATGCAGGGGTTATCTGCAGAAAAAAAAACCAACCTGTGCTTTAGAAGTATTGTGAGTTACCCAGAACGGGAAAGAGATAAGGGGAAATACACCCCAGAGACACACCTTGAGAGAGAGCTCCCCAGCCACAGATCTTCCTTTGCCTGTTCCTTTTACTCCGTAGCCTCCCCATCCCCAATCCCTTCTGCACCCAACTCTACCTCTGATTTTGTGCATGGGGATGTGTATGTTTCTAAAGATGCCTATTACCCAAAGGACTATTTCCAATCCCTAGTATTTTTAATGGGGTTATCCGCTGGCAGGTTGTACACATGGAAAATAGATGGTAGCAGACACATCCAGCTGTTTAGGACAGATTTGTCTGTCACCAATCATGTTATAAAAAAAGGCACTGGTCTAATGCAGGACATGTAACCCCAGACCTTACAAACATGCGGCAAGACCTACGTAAGAATGCACATTTACTTCAGACCTTATGCTTGGGGAGGGCCAAACAGTAGGGCTCCCTCAACACCTCAATACCTAAATGACTCCACATGATCTTTCACGTATATGTCCTCACCATACCCTGCTGAAACAGAGGACGTATGTCTCCTCTTCTATTCATGGTGAAATAGCTCAAACTATATTACTCAGCCACTTGAATGTAGCAAAAAAAACCCTCAAAGCTGTGAAGAATAACGTGTTAGAAAGCAAGAACAGCCCCTCCCTATGGTCTGTGCAGCTGGAGGTAAGCTTGACAGTGATTTGCCTCACTGTAAATAACGCTTTCGCATTTTAAAAGAAAATAAAATGCTATTTTCAGCCAGACGAATTTCCTCATCAGGTTCACCATGCAGCTACCCTTGGAGGAAAGAATGTTTAAGGAGGGGGAGAAAAACTACTCCTCATACCAGTGCCCACTGTGAGTTTTCATGAAGTGTCTGCATAACAATAGCAAGAGGCACAAAGAGAAACATCTGCCTATGCTATCTCAGCAAGGTAGGAGAAAGCAAACAGTAAAGCTCATAGATTGCCCCTGTCTTTTCCTCCCTGCTTAATCCACAAGCTTCAAAGTACTTTCATTTGTCAGAGAGACAAGAAAAAAGACCATGCTCTGTCCACTCAAGCAGAAGTAGACCTCAAGGACTACTTTTTGGGCTGCCAAAAGTAGAGGATGGCACTGAGCACTGGAACAGAGGAGATAATGCAGTAAGATGATTCATGCCACCAAAAAACTTCATGGGTGTTTGCTAACGGAGACTGCACCCCATGTATCCCCCAAGAAGCAGAGGGTTCTAAAAACTCAAACTAAAAGCAAAGGGAGGAGGGGGCAAGCAGCACAGTCCCACGTTTGCACAGTCCTTCTGATTTATCAACTAGCACAGGGCTCTTGCCTGGCAGCAGGTGGCATTAGTGCCAGTGCTGAGCAGCTTCTGGACCTATCCCACTGGCCTACCTGTGTTGGCCAACACAGGCAGACTATTACTGAAGCTGCAGGTGCAGACTCACTCGGGTGTGATTAAGGGCTCGCTGGCTCGCAGTGCCACGCTGGGTGGCTCAAGCCCCTTGCTCTCCCTGTGTCTTTCCATGAGACACACAAACACTTGCTGACAATAATCTACAAATACAGCCAAAACAACAACCAAAAAAAGTAGTGGAGAGAGGTGTTCCAAGTATCACTAAATTGTTTCTGGATGACATTTTCAGAGGATTTTTTTAAAAGTCAAGGACATTTTATAGAGCACTGGGTTTATGAATCAGTTATTTTTATTTTCCTCTGCCGTTAAGTAACTTTTCCAAATGTCACAGAATAGTAACTGCTGTGTAGATCAGTATTACTGAAGGCTGGAAAACAGCATACAAGAATAGCTGTGCATTTCTATTTTATATTAAATTAAATGCCTGATTTTCTTTGCATACAAACTTTTTCAAAATCCTCAAAATGTACTGGTCTACCTTTTATTAGAGTGGAAGCCTGAACTGCTGTCTCTCCTTCCCCTTCCCACTCCTCTGTCCAGACTGCTAGAAAAAAGAGAAATTGAGACAAAGGACACAAAGCTTCCCACTGCCTTCACGGGGATGAGATCTGTTTCTTTGTATTTATTATTAGCATTATATTAGCATAAATATATATATTTATGCTAAAAATGTCAATGAATGGCACTTCCACATTAGCCTTTAAAGAGAACCAAGGCTTTAAAAGGAAAATGACTTGGAAATGGAGGTTGGTTTGAAATCTTCAAGGCAAACCAAATGGTTTAGATATGAATCTTGAATAAAATCAACAGAAGTCCCTGTATCTTGTAAGAAAAAGATCTCAATGATAAAGTGGAGACAGCATGTTCCCCTGTTGCCCTGCTTTACCCCTCACTTCTTCATTTGCCAAAGCAGGCCACACCGCACCTTGAAATAGCAGGTGCCTGTTGTAATTCCTATCCCCATCCACCAGGTCACTGATGGATTACACTGTACAATAGGAACAGCCAAAAGAAGTCAGTCCCACCAACTTAAGCACAACATTCTGCCTCCACTGCAGCGCCCTTAAGCTGGAATCAAGTGTTGCATCTATTTTTATTGGTATAATACCTGATTCATCCTCAGTTTGAAGGCCTGATATTAAATGCGATGGGAAGATGCACTAGGGGCTTGCTGTGCACATCAAACCTATGTTGTGCCTCCTCTAGGCATCCAAGTAGAATGTCTATACCCAAGTAGATGCCAAGAAGACAGTAACACAGCAAGCATATAGGACATTAAAACAGAGTTTGGAGCCTCTCACATCCCCTTTCAGAGCTCAGAGAAAACACCTAAACACACAGAGAAAACACCTTCTAAACACACACACACACAAGTAAGAAACACTGGGAGTTGCTATGGCTGAAGACTGCAGAGCTATGAAGCACCAGTGCTGGGTGTGAAGCACTTGTACTAATGCAAGACAGCACAGTCCTAGCTACAGACCTGGTAGGAAGGTGAATTCAGGGAGGAATTGCAAGACCTCTCTCTCCTCTTCTTAGGAAATCATGCAGTGCTTTCACCAGGATGTTTTAATACAAGCTGGACTCTTGCCTGACCTTTACAATACCTAAAAACTAGGACTCTGTGTTAGCACTTCAGGCTCTTTTTCCATCCCTTGATACTCAAAAGATCCCTGACTATCTCTTTCTCCTCTCCTTTCCTGCCCTGCTCTGTGCTGGCAAGATCAAAAAAACCCCAATCATTTGCTCAAACAAAATTAGAAGAGATCACACACAGAATTACCTGCAACTAGAGAGCAAGAAGTTGCAGTCATGCAGCCCAATGGGAAACACAGTCAATTGTAAATCCAGTCTGGAAAGTATTATCTGAAAAATACAACCACCAAATTACATCATGAAATCATAGAATAGTTAGGGTTCAAAAGGAAAACATCCTGTGGTTCTTATTTAGACAAGATATTTGGGGGCTTCAGATCAGAGCTTTTTCAGACTTACACCTGGCTGCAGCCCAGGAGTTGCTCATGAGCCAAACTGCACAGAGAACTAGAAGATTCCCCTGGGAGTGATTCAAGATTGCTTAATGCATTGCACAGTAAATATAATCTAAGATATTTAGACAGTCTCTCCAGCAGCAGGAATTAGTTGGCTCAGGGGACTCTTGATCTGATACAAGTACAGACACAGATCCATGATGCCAGGGTATTAAAAACACAGCCCTTTCAATTGCAGACAAGTGAATGCTTCAGTTTTATTAGTACAGTATTAGCAGGGTGTATGATTATAAATAAGACCTGTCTACATATCAGTTTCAACCTGTTTGATGCTGATATTCTACATCTTCAACATCTACAAAGTCTGCTTTGAATGGGGTGTCTGCCTTCGGTAGCACCTTTTTTTCTAATCACTGAAATGAAATTCCTAGGGATGACAATGAAAGGTTAGAAAATCCTAATTATCTCCTATTTAGACTAAAATCCCCCAAGAAACTACTGAGAGTAAAGTACCCTTCCAGAGGAGAATTCTCTGAAGAGATGAACCAACCAGAAAGCCTTGACCATCAGCTGGGGCTGGCCAGGAGGCATTCTGATATAGAAACCAGATGCCACAAGACAGAAAGGCACTTAGATGCTGGTGAGATATGATGAAAGGAAAAACAGCCACAGGAGAGAATGCACAGTCAGGAGGTGAAAGTAGTAGGGATTTCCAAAGAGGCTTTCTGCATAATCCCACAGAAAGGTCCAGAAAGGTAAGGAAAGAGATACTCACACCCATTTTCATTTGGTTTTGGCTCAATTCAGGCATTTCTTGTAATAGATATGGGAGGCAGGGAGAAATTACTGTTGTTACACTTTATGCAATTTGGTATCCCATCAAAAAGATACGAAACTGAAGCATCTGTAAGAGTAGGGTTCTGGGAAAGGAGAGGAGGCTGGAGTGCAAGCCTAATTTCTTTCTGATGGCTAACTAGCAGAAACCCTCTGTCATAAGTCATCTCTGGCATGAAAGAGTTATTTCTGGCACTGAGATGCTTTTACTTAAACTTCTTCTACTCTCACCTTGTGAGACTGCTGGCTCCAGGGATACCTCTGCTGCGGTCTGGATCCCACAGAAGTTTCTCTCCTGTTTGGAGCAATCTGTTTTTTCACATCAGGCTGGTATTTAACAACTCTGACCTTCCCCTTGCCAACATGGATTACAAGCTATGGCAGGGCGTAGACGCCCTGAAGAACAACGGGCTGTAAGGAGTTACTGCGGTATATTACATTGCCAGGGTTTTTAAAGCATGGCAGCATACTGGACTGGCATATGTCATCAGATGAACAGCTAAGCCATAGGCTGGCAAAGCACAAAATCAGCTTTTGACATAAAGCAGCTTTTTCTAAAAATGCAGAGTTCCCTATTCATCATGACAACTTGAACTAGTTCATTCAAAGCCAAGACACAATCTGAGAGCTGTTAAACCAGGAAATTTAGTTTTTCCCTTTTTCGTTTTATAAATAAAAAAGTAGATGTTGAAGAATGACATGTGCTAGTCCCACAAATATAAAGGAGCTGACAACTGGAAAAAAAAAAAAAAATTGATGAATTCTTTTTCACAATGTCATTTTGATTTTTGAATGGTTAATGTTTTAAGAGATAGATACACCAAACGGGGGTAGGAAGAGGGAAATCGGGAGCTTTTAACTTCAAAAAAATGAAAATTAAGACTCTGAAGCTTTAAATGCAGATTTATTTTCTTCCAAATGCAAACTGACACATACTGAGTAAATAAATAAATAATTCAGCTGCCTTATCGGACAGTTTCCTAACACATAAAAATTAAGAATTTGAACATTGAGCTTGTAGAATAACATAAATATGTAAGAAGAGCCTTCCACTTACTGAATTTACCACTGTGGCTGTGTGTAGTGACAGAACAGCATGTTTTAATGCTACCAATAAAAGAAAACGTTCATTTGCAAATAAGAAAGTACAAACATAGGAGATGATTTAAACTGATTTTAGTTAATAGGATTTTTTTCTTTTCAGCTTAAATAATTTTGAATTTCAACCACTGGAGTAAAATCAATTCACACAAAGGTACACTTTGAATCCTTGGTTCAAAGGCAACCTATATGACAGGAAGTCATTCCCTTGCTGAAAACATCTGTGAGCCTTGGTTATCTCAGCCCTGTTCTTTTTGCACAGATTTTGTAGCAGAAGGGGCTACTGTCCACTGAAAGCCAAGGTATGGATGTCTTTTTTTCTCAGTCCCTTGCTCTCCAGTCTTTGTGCCTTTCCCTTTTCTCCTCCCACCCATCACTCACAGAACCTTAACTCATGTGTTCAGCCCCTTACTTATGACATTTCTATGGCTACTGAGAAATTAAAAAAAAAACAAACAACTTATCTATGATTCTACTATGATAGGGAAGAAAAAGTAATTTGCTAGTGCTCTCTAAGAAGAACACTGAAATCAAGCAAGTCATATGAGCAGAGAGGCCCACTGGATTTCCCTTGGTGACCTGCAGCTCAGTTGGGATGGCAGGCAGGTTGGAAGATAAAGACCTAGTTCACTAGCACAGATAAGTGCTTCTCCCTGGGATTAATTAATGATCACTGTGATACAGCCTAAGATATGTAGGACAGCCAGAGACAGTTAATGGGGATCTGTGGCAGTGTCACCCACAGTACTTCACATTTTGCCTCCAGAAAGTAATACCATGCTTTAAAATATTAAGGTATTCTGCAAAGATTAAGCCACCTGGAAGGCAACTTTGTCTAATGGTTGCCTCACTGGCCTAAGTCACTATGCAGAAGTCTATTCCTGTCTTATCATCCTTTGCTGAATGAGTCTGGACACACTGTCAATTTCTCCATCCATCCTCTTCCCTACATTTAAAAGGAGAGTATACAGCTTCCTTTGAAAGCCACTGAACTCCAGGGTGAAAATCTTACATTTGCCTCTGATTTACAGTATTAAACTTTAGGACGTGTTTTGGGAAAAGTAAATAAATTTGTTTAACAAATGAGAAAGACAAAATCGATTCAATAATTTTCATGTTTCATGCGTCTTTCAAAATAAAAACCAAACCAACCAAGCAAACAAACTTTCTCACTCTTCTCAGATTAACCATCTCCCCTAAGGCAAAAATAACGGGACAAAATTGAGATATAATTACAAACATCTCTTCTATTGAAAAGGACAGAGGAGATGGCTGGAAAGATACTGAACATGCACACACGCCCCAAGGCACATCACTGCTGGTTAAAATCACCTGCAATGTACAGTGATGCTTTGTCACTTCACTGTGGGATACACAGGAAAATAACGTTGTCTGTCTTCTGTGCCAACTGAATAATACTGAGTTTATTGAGGGCGATTTTAAGTGGGAAAAACAAACAAAAGGCACGACAGCACACAATGGCTATGTTAGGGACAAGTAAACGGCACCACCTCAGCCTTCACAGCCTCTTCCTCACAAAGCCCACGCCTGGAAACAGGATTCTCCGTCCGCGGCTGCCTGACAGGAAACACCAGCGGCTTTCTCTGCTATTTACGACACTTTTAGAGCATTACGCTGTCTCCTCCTGGCTGGGGCTCCGTTACCCTGCTCTTCACGGTGTCTTCCCGCGTCGCGGCGGAAGGTGACCCGAAACGGTGCATAAAAACACCAGAACCCCTCCCTGTACAGTAGGCGAAACCAGGGGTGGGGGGTAGCTGGGTTTGCTTCGAGGCTCCAGCAGGCTGAGGCGACCCCGAGGCAGCAGGAGGAACCGACCCCTCCCAGGTGCTCGGACGACGGTCCCTCCACCGCAGGGACAAACCCGGTTGCCACCCACCCGCGGATAATTGCCCCACCTCCCGCCCCCTTACCTGCCGCCCGCGGGGCTCCGTACCGCGCCATGCTGTGCCGCAGGGCGATCCGTGCTGCCACAACCCCGCGCACCTCCAGCACCTCTCAGGCAGCACCGTGCTCTGCGCACCCGGGGCGGGCGGGGCCGCGTGTCACGTGGCGGGGGTGGTGGCCGTGGCGGCCGTGGCTGCTGTGCGAGGCGCTGTGTGAGAGAGGAGGAAGATGGCGGGGACGCATGGGCTGCTGGCGGCCGGACTGTTCCGCAGGCGGGTGGCCATCGTCACTGGCGGCGGCACCGGCATTGGCAAGGCCGTTGCCGCCGACTTGCTGGCGTTAGGTGGGCACGGGGAGGGTCCGCGAGGAGACCCGGTGGGGTAGCTGGGCAAGGTGGGTGTCGGGGGAGCGGGGCCGGGAGTGAGGTGAAGGCGGGGGATGGAGTTTGAAGGAGAAGGCTCGGGGGATTGTGTTGTGTTTTGGGGGTGGGCAGCGCTCGGAAGCGGCTGAGGAGTTTGTGAGTGGGACGTTGTGACAGGAGTCAGTGAACAGTGAGGACGGGATGAGGTTGATGTGGGACTGTATCTTTTGACCTGCTTGCACTTAAAAGGAGACATTATTTTAAACTAGAGTGGTCAAAGTGAAGCTATATTAAGCTCGGACCCTTTCATATTTTCTCTTAACCGAGTTTTCATCTTGCTCAACTAGAGGATTTACTTGGTTGTTAAACTGAATCTTATGGAGTTGTATAGTTTTGAACTGTTGTCTGCATGGGCAGCTTAAGAGAAATGGTGCTTCTCACTCGGTGCTTGTGACAGAAATGTCCTGATGTTAATCTTAGCCGCTTTGTGGGTTTTCTTACCATATTGATTGTAGAGAAATGGTAGAGTCTGGAGTGAAAGGCAATTTTCTGAGTAATCTACCTTGCAACACCTTTTATGCAGGTTTCAGCGTTAATTGCAAGGGATCATTGGCATCAGGCTTGTTTCAGATAACATGTGTTACCACTGTTGATCAGCTCTCTTCGGATTACCAGCGCTATTATGCCATACTCCCTGTGGTTTGTGCTCTTGGAATGAGCACTGTGCTATTTCGGTGGGTAGTAAAGAGCTTTCTTGGTTAAGACTCTGCTGGGAGTCATCTTTGCCTCTCCTGGCCTTTATCACAGCTTTCCACATATTCAGTGGAGATGAAGTGAGGACTAGTTGTGCTACCTTTGTATTACTGGTGAACTAAGCAGCTTTTTTAAGCTGTAAGGACATGCTGCCTCGAAGAGGTGCTTTTTAGGCATCATTGTGTTGTTGTTCGATGAAGTTACACAGTTACCTTAAAATTGTACTTAATTTGATCTGCATTATTTTTCTCAAAGTAACAGAAGCATGTATCCATAACATCCTAAATAAAAAACAAGGCTACAAATCATATGTGAGAAAATGAAGAAAGAACTATGGCTGAAGTTCATCTGTGTAACTGTGTTTACGTGCAGTTTTGCTGGCTACTCCTGACAAGAAAACAACCAGGAATTATTTCCATGTATACTTTGCACTGTAGGTTGTATCATTTTGGAGGAGTGCTGGATGGACAGAAAATGCCTGTAGAAGCAGTGACAGATAATGCCAGTCGTGATGTAGTTTGCTTTTATAACCAGTCTTGTATGAAGCCTTATGTACAGGTTTAAACCTTCTATCTGGAAAACTGTGCTCTTTCTCCCCTGACTTTATCAGGAAATGGCCTGGTTATTCTTTGTGAATTAAAATAGGTGAAGTTTGTATAGTAAGTACCAAGTGTACCTCAGTGAGTTAGAATCTCCCCATCCACCAGTTATTTAGCAAAACGATAGTCTTTTACTGGACCTTACTCACTATCAGTGTGTGTATTAATAAGCACTTAAGTTGGTAAATATAACTGTGCTACTATGATTTAGTATTTTGTGTTAATTGTTAATTGTGTGTGCCAGTTTATGAGCTCTGCGTTAATCAGGTGGTTGTACAAGTGATTGGAGTTCTTAATTTAAAAATCAGGAGATGTCAGAGACTAATCTTTACTTGAGTTGTTTTAAATGGCCACTGATTGAAGCTGAAGCTCCCATTCCTAGGAATATGTAGTTACAGCACTTCCATCTGGAAGAATTAAACTCCTTTATTTATTTAGTTTTATGTATAGTTTTACAAAACAGCCTGAGCCAAATGAACAGCTTGCTGCTCTTTACACCTACTAGTTATTTTGAGCTGATTCTCGTGGTTTTTTGATCATGAGAGGCCAAATTCTACTCAGCAAAATAGCAACAGCAATAACAAAAAAAACAACCAAAAAACAACCCCCCAAAACCCCACCAACCCACCTGTCAATATGTTAATATTTTTTTTGTGGTTTTGGCTGGTTGAGGGTGTTGAATTGGTCTATGTTGAAGCAGATGAGCAGCAGAGCTGCTGGATGGCTTCTGCTGGGCTTCTGAGACTATGGAAGGAGGGAACTGGGAGCAAGATGTCCTTGCCTGCTTAGCAGTAGAAGCTAGTAATTTGCTTATCCATAATACAAAATTGTATGCCTACTGGATTTGCATTAGGAATTAATTTGGTGTGCTCTGCTTCTGTCTGTGTAGTAGCAATTGCTGAAACCTGAAAGCTGTCCTGAGTTCACTGGTGTGACAGAGAAACTAGACTGGTTGTAGTGTAAGTGCTTGCCATTAATTTGGCAGCTGCATTGTTTTTCTCTGTAGAATGAGTCCTCCTGCCTCCAAATGCTGAAATAAAAAACAACAGAAGACTTGAGCTCCTGCATATTTTTTCTTCTCCTTTCTAAGCTAGGATTCTGCAGTGTGTGGTGATGCCACAGGGAAGTCTCTGTTCTTGCTGTCTATAGTCTGCAGGTAGGAATTAATCTTGTGAGGCTGTCATCCTTCCCTTCAGTCTCTGTAGTGTTAAAAAGTATTTTCTCACTGCTAGTCCAAATTACAGCCAGACATGCAGTAAGATTATTTTTTGTGGTTTTAGGAGCAAGTGGTTTTTTGTGATCAAGACCTGCTGAAACATCTTTAATTCATGTAATTGATAAACGCAGCTGTGAGCAGAGGCAGCAGAAGTGATATCTAAGAGCTGGTTTGCCGACTCTGCAATTCATAGCCTATCTTCCCTTCTGCAGGAAGGACAGGAAACCTTGTAGACATTTTTTTGATTGCTCTTCTCCTGGCACAGTGGGATCTTGTTGATAAGAAGCACCTGACATCAGTAACTTCTCTTGCAAGAATTTCAAGACTGTGTCTTCTAGACAGTGACTAATAAACTTGCATCCTACAAGATACCTCCACAATGTTATTAAAAAAGCCCAGCATAACTGTAACTATGTTACCTGAAGGATGTTTCATTTTGTCTCTACAGGTTGCAATGTTGTTATTGCCTCTCGTAAATTTGACCGATTAAAAGCTGCTGCAGAAGAACTGACTAATAAATTTTCTTCCATCAGTCCTGCCAAAGTGACTCCCATACAGTGCAATATCCGCAATGAAGATGAGGTAAAGACTAGTGATGTTGTTCTGGGGATTAACATGTCTAAAGTATATTCTGTATATAAATTCCCAGCTCTCCAAAGCTCTGCTCTGTTCTTCTCAAAAGTGGCTTAGGATAGTGCAGTAAAGCACTGTTAAACTGATCTAGATAAATTTGCTTTCCAAGGGAAGACTGTTTTTTAACCACCTAAGCAAGAAAGCATTTTTAACTGCAAATATTTTTCTGACCATGCATACGTATTTCAGATATTTCTGGGAGAAGCAGACTTTGGAACTGGCATGTTCCACAGCCGAGTCGGAGCCCACTTAGCATGGTTCTTTGTCACATTGCTGTGACAGCAGTGAGGGGGTGTTAACTTGTGAGGATGGAGTACTCAGAATAGTTCCTTTAATCAGGAAGTCATAGCATGGAATCTCAATGCCTGTGACTTGACACAAGTGCCCGGCATTGTCAGTTTGGCTTGTATTGAAGAAAAAAAAAAACAACAACCAAACAAAACAAAAAACAAACAAAACCAAAAAACACACGCACACACAAAAAAAGCCAAACCCAAATGCTATGGATATTATTATTTTTAGCCACATTTCAAATTTTGGTTACAATTTGTGGTGTGCCTCATTACGAACTCTATTACTATCCCACTCTAGTTGCTTTTTTTTCTTCAGATTGCAAAGAATGGAAGATGAAAAGCAAAAGTACTTAATCCACATTCTTCAGAAGTCAGCATTCACATCCTAGTTTTTTAATCTATGTAATTAAACATTTAAAAGTCTATCATCAGGTTGGACTTTTAACTTATCGAAGAGAAATTGAAAATATTCTAGTAACCACTGACTGGTACATTTTTCTTAACCTTTCAAAGTCTCTGTTAAATTCTAGTGTAACTTAAATTCTAGTATAACTTACTTAATGACCTTCACTAGCTATGTAGGTTCTGGAAATAGCCTAACTTACAACCATAAAGCAAATAAAAAATAAAATTCTTCCCTCAGGAACAGCTAGTGCTATAAAATACTTAGTGATATACTCAGACTTTCTCTCCTGAAGGAGGTGAGCCTTGAGGCTGTGCAGTATGTCACTTCACCTACCAATGAATTTTAGGTTAGTATTTACTAGCATCAGCAGTATGATATAATAGGTTATGGCAGATGTCAGAGGGCAACTTACATGATTAAAGCTACGGGAAAGAAAAGGGATAGAGAGAAAAGGCTTAAGCCTTCTTTCACATCACTGTTCTTGCAGAAAGTACTCTCAGCATGCTCAATAACCTTCTGCAGGTAAATCTTATTTCTGCGTCAGTTTAAAAATGAGTTAGTGGGAACTGCAGTGTTCTGTGAGATGATAGGGAGCTTGGACAGCAAAATGAGGTAACCTGCACTAAACAAACTACCATTCATTTGTTCCCTGTTTTTATTAAGTGTGACTACATATTTGACAAAACAGCCTTAGATGGCTTTGGAAACTTTTTTGAAGGTGCTTTTAAAGCCTATTTTATAGTGCAGTGTAAAATTTTTTGGCATTATTCTGTTACTGGTAGCCAAGCTGATAACTTGGAGAAAACTTCTGCTTTGCTATTACTCTGCACTTTTGTCATAGAATTGGCTTGTTTCACATGTAGTTTTAAGCTACTCATTTACAGATGCACCTGAACTTTTAATACAGTGTTGGAGAAGCCTCTATTAGGCATCTCCCGCCAGTCCAAGTTCTCTTAAATCATAGAATCATAGAATAGTTACGGTTGGAAAGGACCTTAAGATCATCTAGTTCCAACCCCCCTGTCATGGGCAGGGACACCTCACACTAAACCATCTCACCCAAGGATTCATCCAACCTGGCCTTGAACACTGCCAGGGATGGAGCATTCACAGCCTCCCTGGGCAACCCATTCCAGTGCCTCACCAACCTAACAGGAAAGAATTTCTCCCTTATATCCAGTCTAATCCAATTCCCCTGTTTAAGTTTGAATCCGTTACCCCTTGTCTTGTCACTACAGTGTGACTGTTAAATCATTGCTGTTTCATGTCTGTCTCTATTGAAGAGAGGATTGAGAAGAGTAAGGTAAATTAAACTCTAGTCTTGCATTTTTCAGTCATCAACTCTGTCTTATAGTTTGATTCATTTCAGTTCTCCAGCTGCTCTTACTACTTTTTGTTGATATCTTATTTAGAAAAAAAAACACTATGAAAACTTCATAAGCCTTTTGTGGAAGTTTTAAATAAGGAATGCAATTTCTGTTGCTTGTTAACATAAGAACTTCAGTATTCATGCTAAACAAATATTGATCCATTCCAGATGCCCATCTCCAAGACCAGATATTTTTAATGGTTAGAGACATCCTGTGATTTTTGTTCTTTAGCTCGTTTTTCTGTTTCAACAAGGGAAAAAACTTCAGAGTTCAGGTCCTCCTTAGATCTCAGAACTGATCCATCACAAGCTACAAAGCCCAGGAAGCTTCCTGAAGAACTACATAATTCATTTAGTATTTCCTTCTGTTTGACATCTCACTGAAACCTTTCTAAGAGTAAGTCTTTCTCTTAAAGGAAGCCACAGTTATCACCTTTAAGAACAAGCCATCTGTTTGTACAGTGGCATGCCTTTTGTTTTTTTGGTTATTTTTTTACATCCCTACATCTCTACCAGTTGTTCTGTGTTTCTTTAAAGGTCCCTTTGAACTTTGTCATTGCTTTAATTTTATAATAGGGCAAACTAGAGGGAGAGATTCTCAGTAGAGGAGATTTGAGGAAAATGAAAGTGCTTTCAAAATTGCCAGATGGTCTTTTAGTTTGCTTGGGCTTTTTCACCTCCTAGTAGAAATCTTAAACTAACTGACCTGCTTTGGAGGTGACACAGCTCATTCCTCCTGTGTATCTTAGTCTGGATCTGTGAAATTCAAGCATTAGAATATCCAGCCCTCATCATAGAGTGCAGTTGGTTTGTTAGAGCTCTTTCTGACATAGGGAGAGTCAGAGGAGGTGCAGTGAATTAATTGCTGCAGAAGCTTGATGGCAGATATGGCAATAGCTTAAGGAATTCACGTTTTGAAGTCTCTTAATCTTCTCGGAGGCCTTCTTGCTCTCTAGCAAAGCTTACTTTTAATTTTATGTACAAGAAATAATCTTACTTGATGGAAGATTTTCAGCCACTGCATAATCTGTCAGGCGTATTTGATAAATTTGCTGCTGCTGCTTTTGGCTAGTTTTCTACCAACAGTTTTGTAAAGGCTAACATATCTGGTTTGTTTTTAAATATGGAAGAGTAAAGGGTTCTGGGATGCCAGTAAGAACAACTGAGGTTTTTCTGCTTTGTCTTCATTGAGCCTTATTCTGAAGTAATGTCTGTGCACCTGTTCCTTGTCCCGTGGTCTGGAGTATGTGGTGGTCAATATGGCTTCTTAGTGATTATGAAGCTGAAGTGATTGTAATTATTTCAATGTTTTCTAGTACTGCCCACATAATTGTTGAATATAACAACAGCGGATCAGGTTGCTCTTGCTGAGATGCAGGCTAGACAGCTCTGCATGTGCCTTTTGAAACCAAGCTGTTTTTCCAAAATCTAATTAATTAATTAATTCCAGTGCCTCAGTGTAATTGTGGTCATACTGGAGGAGAGAGATCCCCTCCTTTTTCCATTATGAAAAGAGCTTTCTATTTATCTTTGTAGGTGTTGGGAAGGGGAAGCATTTATTTGTGTATCTTAAATACTGAACTACAGAAAATCTGTTGACAGGGGAAAGACAGACATGAGGAAGTTTTTACCTTTGTAAAGCCTTTGTCATACATGCTCTGGACAAACATTTACTTAACTGACACATAGATAAGTAGAAGACATATCTGGGTAAGTGGAAGATAAAACTTTTTACTTCTAGTAGGCCAGTGTTTTTGAAATCAGCAATTCAGAATTCTGTACACAGTGTCCCCTTTCTGTACTTAAGCTCCAGCATTAATTGTGGCTGGATCAGACCCTGAGGGTAAAACCGATCACTTGGACATCTGACAAACGGGATTCCTTGAGACAGACTCAGTGCAGTACTATTTAGTGCTTACTTTGTGTCTGAGTTCACTAGTAGCTTTTCTTTTCCAATCAACTTTATAGCTTGGCATAGTCCCAGTTGCTTAGTAAATACTGTGTGAAGCCTGTAGTGGAAGGTTGTGGCTTGGTGGAGAGCTATGGGTAAGAGATTCTTCTTGTATTTTAATACAACAGTAGCACAATGAAAAAGTAACTGTTATCACTGGGCAAGAATGGCTGCTGGTCCTAGTCCCCACATAGAAAATCTCTAACACTCTGTAGTGGGTAGTTTGCCTGGTGAGCTTTACTCAAGCTCCAGGTGACATGTGGACATGCAAGTGGACATTTGTCCCTTTCCTGTGTCAGCAAGTACTGTCTGTGCAAGTTTGCTAGTGCGTAATACTTTTGAGTTGCAGTCACACAAAAATGGTCCTTACTGAACAGCACCAGTTTTCTGGTTATGTCTGAAGTGCCTGGTTTTGTTCTTTTCAGTCTTTTTCAGAAGAGCATCCTAAACTGTTAACTCTGCCTTGTACAGTTTTGCTTTGCTTCAGAGAGTCTTTAGTAGCTTTTTAATAAAGTTCTTTCTGTGTGGATTTTGAATATTTAGGAATAGAAAGGAATCTTCTTCAGTTCTCACTGTGATTTAAATGTGTTCTACCAGACCTTCTTTCTTGCTGTGCTGGTGGCTGCTGTCACCATGTTTACTGTAACCGGGAGAAGCACTGCAATGGTGCTTTTTCTATAACACAGAAGACATTGTGAAGATTGCTACAGCTGGAGCCATCCGAGCTGTCACTAGAAAGCTGCCACCTGCTAGCTTTTGCTGGTTTTCTGAAAGCAGAACTGATACACAGTTGGGTTTTAGGTTTGGGTTGGGGTTATTTTTGTTTGATTTTTGTTTGTTTGTTTTGGTGGTGTTTTAATTTTTTTTAATTGCCTCTGGATTATGGGACAAGACGTAAGAACAGTTTCTTAAGATATACGTGGCCTATTTTGAATTGATTTGTCATAGCATGTTTTGTCTACCTGTTGAAAACTTACTTGTAATTTTTTTTCCCCAGTGGATTTTTCTTCTGATAACTTACTGGGTTTGTTGTTTGTTTTTTTTTTACTATTATTAGCATTTTCCTTTTTCTCTCACCCACCCTGACCCCCCAGCCTGAATAGCCTTAGTCTGTTCAAACATTCCTTGTACCGAAACCATTTCTCTTTCGTAAATAAGACCATACTTCAGTGGCTTATGGACAGCAATATTCAAAGCAAGATTTTCAGGCTAACAAGGAGAAGAGTTTGATAGGCTGAGCAAAGCATGATTTTTGTTGCCTGTTGAGGTATAACTTGTTTTTCTCTGGTTGTGAGCAAACCCACAAGTCTTTGTGGCATGATGCTTCTCAGAAGCCATGGGTTTGGGACTGCAGTCACAAATGCCATATTGTTTGTTTTTTCCTCTCAGATCCCTCAAGCTGCAGTGACTGATCTGAGGAATAAGATGACATTCAAAACTTAAGATGGTGATTTGGGCATCAAAATTATTTTCTTAGGCAATTTTTTTTCTCAGGAAGCATTAGTTTTCAGTCAGGCTTCAGCCACTATATGTTTAGATTCTTTTCTTCAGGGAGGTGCATCCTTACAGGATCCATACTGTCCTGTTAAACAATCCTGAACTGTAAGGCAGCTATTTATGGGACTGAGTTAGTGACACTCTTGGTGAGATACAGATCGTGCATTGCTGGTTCTTTCATTTTTTGGTGTTTTCTACTGCTAATTCAGTATAGAGGAAGGCTGATTGACATCTTTCCCTTAGCCAAATCTCAGAAGTAGCATTGCTCCTAATGTTTGGTTGGGTTTGGTTTTTTTTCTTGTTTGGTTTTGTTGTTGTTTTTTTTTTTCGTTTTTGTCTGTGTTTTCTTTGATCACAGAAGATAGATTAACTTTTTATGTGTGCTTGAGTAGGAATAACTGATGCATCCTATCTAATAACGATAGGTAATGTAAACAGGAAACAGTCATGTTGTCCCATTTCCCCTGCTTCTTGAGATAAAGATTAAATTATTAAGCAGTTGCTACAGAGTTATTACTCTCTTGTAGTAGGAAATGTACATCAGCTTTGATATCTGTAAAATCTTTGAATGCTTTGAAATATCTTCTCCTCCAGAAGCTCTCTTGTGCTTAGTGTGAATGTGTGGCAAAACTTCTCTACTTCCAAAAAAAGACAATGTAAAAAGGCTTAATTTACAGCCTGTAGCTCAGATTAGGTCAGTGTCAGAGCTAGGTTTAGGTTCTCAAATTCTCTTTCTTTCCGTATGCACTTAAGCCACTTTTTTTCTGCACTGACAGCTGCTTGAGTGAGTGAATAACACATCTACTGCTATTTGTTGTTAATAACTTCTCAGAGTACCCAAAGGTAAATAGTGCCAGACAGGGCTCTTAATTATAGTATTCATCCTGCTTATAGACAGACAGTACCTGCTTAGTCAAATATTCACCTTTCTTTTGCTAAAGAACACAGCCTGTAGTATTTTCATATTTTTTTTAGAATTTATGTGTTTTGGGATAACAAACTAACCTTCTTAGTCTCTGTAAGAAGAGTGGCTGTTGTTAACTCATATATCAGAGCTTTAATGAATGTACAAAATGTCTAGATAAGAGTGTTAAAACTTCACAAGATGACTTATGTTTTATATGTAAAATGCTCAGGTACATATGTCAGAAGAAAAATATCATAGTTTTTTTATAAGGAATGTTTCCAGCATCTGGTGTGAACAACCCACTCTTGTGAAAAATGTCCTAAGGTGGTTCTTGGTAGGTCTTAAGTAGCTGGCTTTTGTGTATGTTTGCTTTTATAAACCTTCAGCAGCTTAAATCCCCTTCTTTTTTTACTGCTGGTATTTTATGTAGTACCTGGGTTATAACAGGAAGATCTCCTAAGTAAACATGGACTTGGCCTAATTCTTCTTGGTTGACTAAGCTTGTCATACTGATCTTCCAGCCTTTATGAAGGCTGGTGCCTCCTGTTTATGTCTGAAAAGGGTATGAGAGAGAAAATACTGTCTCAGAATGAAATTGGGTATATAGTTTAATCAGAATACTATACTAACAAATATTGTTTCAGGTAGAAGCTGTGGTGAAGTCTACACTAAGTCTGTATGGGAAGATTGACTTCCTGGTGAATAATGGAGGGGGCCAATTTGTAAGGCCGTCTGAAGCCATAAGTGCAAAAGGCTGGAATGCTGTGATAGACACAAATCTGACAGGGACCTTCTACTGCTGCAAAGCAGGTAAGAACTGCACATAAAGCATTTTTTGTTGGTTTGGTTTGTTTTTTTTTTACAGCAATGCCAGAAGACAAGAAACATAAAGCTTCCCTACCTTCTTTTTTCACGCACTTACCTGACAGTGGATATTTGTTTTCACAATCTCATCCAAAGCTTTATGTTAAACTGTACATTACATGTGTTCATATATACAAACATACATTTAGGGAACTATGATCTTAGGTTAAGTGCAGATTTGGGGAGTCAATTGGCTTGGATACTCACTTAAACAATTGTAGGAAAACCACTTAATTTCTGTGGCCTGAATCCACTGTGTCTAATACAGGAAAAGATTTCTCTCCTATCAGGGGTGTAAATTTAGCTTTAAATTTAAGCATGGTACACAATTCTTAGATAACACTGGGAATGTGGAAAAGAAAGTAACTTATGTGGAAGAATGGATTCTTGACTTCCACCAGAATGCTTCTTGAAGAAGATCAAGCCCAATCTGGACCACACCTGTTACCCACCCAGTGGTGAGGCTATAGTACAAAGAGCAGATTGTTTTATCTAAATCCACACAGGAAATGTGCAGTGTAATTGGAGTTAGGAGTCCAAATTTGGCTCCAGTTGGCCAGTTTGTTTGCCTGCATTTCTTCTGATATTTATAGATTATCTTCTTCCTTCATACAGTGTACAATGCTTGGATGAAGGAACATGGAGGAGTCATTGTCAACATTACTGTTACCGTGAGAAATGGGCTTCCTGGAATGTTGTAATATATATTTTATTTTTACATTTTGCTATGTTTTCCCCCAGAAGTGCTAATTGCTCCAAAAGACTTCGTTTTAGAAAGGGCAGCAGAAGAGCATAGAAATACTGCAGTTAGGTCAAGAGAGGACAATCGTATCACTTGGCTGTATGTGTGGGGATCTCTTCCTAATTCAGTGGAGACTATAGGAGTAGATGGCATCTCTGTTCTCTGACAACTTGTTTGTAGGAAACTATGAAGCAAGACTTGCTAGCAAAATGGTATGCTAGTGGGACTAGTTGCACTTAAATGCAACCTTTACTTTCTCTCCAAATTTCTGGAGAACTTATGAGAATTTGGCCTCTGTTGTTTTCGTCTTCTACTGTTGGTGTAGAGGTGCTGATGGTGTAATGAGTTACGGGAATAGTGGAGTAGGAGGAACATTTCTAGTATGTTCCCAGGTTTTGGCTTTGTCCTTTGGGTCATGTAATGTCTGCCTTTCCTGTTTTCCTTTTTGCTCTCGCTTTTGTAGCCATCCTTCTTGGAGAAGGTCTTGGATACAGATAATTGGTTCTCTTTGCTCTGCACCTTTCTTGGAGCAGGAGTGTCATGGGTACAAACATACTACCACATTTGTAGTTCTTTTATAGTGACTCAAATGATCACAGCTGTCTGTATGAAACTGCAGCATCCTCCCCATATCTCTGTGTATACTATATTTATGCAAATTCCTTTATCCTCAAAATGGAGGTGAGCCAGGCATCATCCAGTCTGACACTTTTCCACCAAAAAAAAATTTTTCGAAAGAGAAATAATGCTCAGAACATGAATTCAAATTAAATCTCAAAGTTGGTAAAATTCGGCAATTTGTCAGTTTCTTAATAAAAAGTCTAAATTTCTTCTTTGAAACCACTTATTTTTTAAATTTGAAATTAAATTTCTATTGAAGAAAATATAAAAATGTAATCTGAGCAAATGTTACATTGCCTCTCTTTGTCCTGATTCAGAGTTTAAAGCTTTAATTTTTTTTTATTTTTTTGTTTTAAGTAGCAACAGTATTTTCTCACGAGCTTGTTGGCAGTTCAAAATACATTTAGATATCCACAGGGTGGTGCTGAAGTTACAGTTGAGTTTCTCCATTTTGGTTAAGTCTGGTTGAAATGTCACACCAGATAGGCTGAAGCTCTATTTGAGAGTTGAACCAAGAGATAAAAAACCTAACCCCGAATAACAGTGGGAAGAAAGTTTTCCAAAAAACTGTTGTGTGTGGATGAGGATGGACAAAACTACTTTCAAATTAAATTCTTGTTGATTTGAGACTTGGTTTAGAAATGTACTGTTGAAAATGACTTGCCTTTATGAATCCAGCCACCACTTGTGCCAAAAATCACCTGGTACATTTTTCCAGAAATATAACTTCTGAACATAAAACTAGTCACATTTTTTTTGCTCATAGTGTGCGTGGAGGTTATTTATTTATGGCCTAAACATATGAATAAGTTGGGTTTTGTTATATTTTCCTTAAGTTTTTCTTATTTCTTTCCTGGTATTTGAGAAGCTATTGTATCTATCTTCTCTAAGTCTGTTTTGTTAGTCTAAAGGCATTAAAGTCTATTAGTTGTCTCTGCATCCCACTTTCTGCTGTTCATCATTGCAGTCATTTTGTGTGCATTTGCTCAGCCTTTTAAACAGTTTACATTTTGTAGTTTTACACAGTTTGAACTTTGCCTTCAGTTGAAAACAAAAACATTTTATACGCCTGCTTCTGCAATAAAACATAGCTGGCCTCATGTTACACTGGGGAAGAGGTGATAAGTATTTCCCGATGTGACAGGAAATCATAGCATAGATTGTTTAAACTGTGACGCTATGATCAAACTTACAAACTAGAAAATCTCTCGCAGCTGGTCCAGTCATAGAATACCCTGGTGAGGATGTGGTAGAAGTAACATTGGGCACTGTTAGCTGGGGGAACAGATGCTTCTTTTGCTTTTTCTCAATAGGCATTCAGGAGCTGCAAGAGCTGCAGTGAATAACCTAACCAAGACTTTGGCTTTAGAATGGGCCCACAGCGGAGTAAGAATCAACAACATTGCTCTTGTAAGTAATGGCAAATGATTAGCCATCATACATGTTCAAGGCTAAAACTTTCATACTAAAAGGGATTTAAAAATCTATAGCCTGTAACTGTTTGTGGATTATTTATATATCTCTTTATAATTTCCCTCTCTACATTCTTCAGGTCATTTAGAGTGTTTTGTACTGTTCAGATGATGAACCAGAGATGGAGGATAAAATTGCTTCTGCTTTCTCCTTTGATTTGGCACTCTTGTTTTGATATGGGGTTTGTTTGTTTGTTTGATGGGGGGGGGGGGGGGGGAATGGGGTGTTATCTAGCTTAATGAAATGATACCTGGGAGGGTTGTTGACCTGTCTTACAAACCCTTGACATAAAATTACCAAATGCTTTGCATTTCAGTAATGATTACGTTATTTCTGAACTCATAAATTTTTTTCTATTTGAGGTGCAGGTATGTTGATGGTTCCCACCTGTGTTTACGAAGTTATTTTGAAAATCTTTTGAATGTGTCACAATGTCTTCACTTTGTCTTCTACATGTTAAATTAGTTGGGTTTAGGCATAAAAAGACTGTATTTAGAGTGGATCCTCTCTCAAAGATATTACGTATAAAAATGTGTATTCTGATTATTTTATTTTTTTTCTTATCAAATATATGCAGACAGGAAACCACTATACAGGTCAGCTAAAATACACATGTCACATTTCTGAGGAAGTAGTTAGCATGTAGCAGTTGTTTTGCATACTTGCATAGAAAAAGCAGCTATATTTTTCTAGTGCATGGTGCTGCAGACATAGAGGTTATATAGAAGCCCTGGCTTTAACATTTAAGATTGTGTGATCTGTTGTGATCTGTGTCATCTTCAGTCTTAACCACAATTTATTTTGCACATTTACTCCCTTGAGAGCAAAAGAGGAAAGGAAAACTTTGTCTAGCTCTTTCTACATTCAGCGTTTATCTTATCTCACAACACAGTTAAGCGTCAGATTTGTTTAACTGGTCCCTAGGAAAATCTTTGTACTATCTTTGTAGGATGTCTGTATATCCTATTGTGCCTCTTGTCCTAAAACATCTGGCTCACTTTCTTTGGCATAGCACAGAATGCTTAATGACAGATGTGTGTTGATCATTCAGGTAGTGGCTCTTACTTAGCCTCCCTGAGGCCCAACTCATCAGGAGACTTGTTAAGGCTCATTTTTCCTGTTTATTTGTTTTTTTCTGATTTATTAAGTCATTGATAAGTCATTGGGAAGTCATTACGACAGCATTATTATGTGAATATATTTTTCAGGCATGCTAATTACCTCATGAATCATACTAATTATACATTATAGCATATGTCAAAAGAAGTTTTTGACAAGCAAACACTTCAGTGGTTTGGCTTTTTCAGAAAGATTTGCTAGCTTTGTTACTGTGGGGGTCACAAAAATCCATGTAATAGTTACAGTAACACTTCATATCCTTCCGTCACATTTGTGGACACAAATAAACCTGTGGTAACCATATAAAACAGTAAACATTTTATAGGAGCAGAGTAATATGTAGGGAATAGGCACATAGACAAGGAAATGCATTCTAAAAAAATAGTTTCACATACCAGTTACTTCCCTGGCTCCCAAAACCTAGCATTCACATTTCACAGATACCTTAGAAGAGAAATCTTAGCATGTATGCCATGGATGAACTGAAGTTTTGTTATCTTATTTCAACTTGAGTCCCAAAGGTTCTGTCATAACTCATCTATGTAATTCTGTGTCACCACTGCTGTAGACTTTATCTTCCCTCTCAAGTCTAACCTGGACTGTATAATTATCAGAGCAAAGACAGTCACCTTTTTCTGTTTCTATAGCAGCTAAATAGGGAGAGTCCAAACTCTGATTGTGAAATCTGTCTGCTTCCATAATTCACAAGAAAACCAATCTAGCATTCTTACAGATTACAAGAAACTGTTGAGAATTTGTCCTTGGGGCTTTGTAGTTTTCTGCTGTAAGTTAATATGAAATGCTTGCCATTTCAAAACGGCCTTCTTCCTGTGCCCTCCACTGTAATTATTGAAGTGACAGCAGAGAATTAGAATAATCTGAATTACTTTGCTTGAATAGAGATGTGAGTAGCAGCCAAATTACCTTATTCTATAAATTATACTCTTCCATTAAATTTCAAAACTTGCATTCAAGTGCTGTTTGGGTACTTTAATGCTACAGAAAATGACAACTTCACAGTTTTACAATGATCACAGTTTAAACAATATGCAAGAGAACTTAATTTTCACTATGCTGTTTTAAAATAGGGACTAGTTTTTTCAGAAACTGCTGTTGCAAATTATGGAGAACAAGGCACAATGATGTGGTCAAAGATCATACCAAATATTCCTGCCAAGAGGTCAGCGGTTCCTGAGGAGGTAATGTACTTCAGAACATTTGTGATATTTCTACTTCTGTGTCTCTATTTTGAAGCCTCTTTGTTATATGGAGAATAAAAAAGATTTAATTTTGCACTGTGATGGATTATTAAAAAAGAAAAAAGCTTGTGGTAATGTGTAGTAGTGCCAAGCAGGAGACCTAACCAATAGTCACTGAAAGTTTAATTTAGATGCTTCTTACAGTTGAAGTGTTTAATAGTAGATAACCAGTTTCTGAAAAAGTTGCCTTCCAACAAGAAGGACTGAAAGAAGGAATTTAATATGTGAAAAAAAGTGTATCTTAAAAGTACTTAGCTCTCTTCCACCAAGAATGTGCATCTTTGATAAACTGTTCAACTCTTTTGTTTGATTTTTTTTTTTTTTTTTTTTTTTTGTTACCTGGTGTTGATCCTTGAGAGCTTACTGGTTTTCAACTGTTATGTACCTGAAGTTTGAGGCTGGAAATATGGCTTTAAGAGTCTTTAGTTTTCATTTCTGAGTAGAAAACTTTGGTATGTCTTGCCTGCAAAAGTTTTTACAAGAACAATTCCCAACAGTTTAAGAAAGATTAAAATTGTTATTCTTGTGTCAGATCTCTCCTTCAGTGTGTTTCCTGCTGTCTCCAGCTGCTTCTTACATAACTGGGATAACTCTGACTGTGGATGGTGGCCAAAGTTTATATAGGTCTCCCCTAGAGATCCCCGGTAAGAAATGGGATACAAAACAGTGCCCATCAAGTTACTGAAGTCAGGCAATGGGAGGGCACAAAAGTAAAATGCCTCAATTCTCAATCAGTTAAGTATATTGTTTTATTTGTTTTCTTCAGATCACGACAGATGGCCCTCACCACCAGAAGGAAAAAATTCTGAAATGCTTCAAAAGCTTCTTTCTGGCAAATTCAAGCCAAAACTGTAAAAAGAATGATATTTCACCTTATTCCTAGTTGCACACTTGCTGGTAATCTTGCTTTGTGATTTGGGCTGCTTACTCTCAGTAAACTTTTTATTTTTTTTCCTTATACATAACTAGAAAACACTCACTGCCCTGAAAACATTCAGTCTCCCAGGGAGGGAAGGTATAAAAGACATTCTCCATTTGTACAAGCATTAAGAGTCTGAGACAGAAGTGAATAAATAACACTTATTTTGAAGTAAAGGGAGTAGAGAGGGAATGTTTCAGAATCCTTCTGTTGCTGATGAATTTGGAGAGAACGTTATTTAAATCTCTGTTATTAGTTCCATTGATAACCCTTGATGTAGCTGTTAGCTCTAACCTATTTCTATTCTGCCACACACTGAGCGTTCAGCGATGATTTGAAGACTGAGTAGGTATTTCTCTACTCAGAGTTAAAAATACTCTCTACTCTCTCCTCAGAATTAAAAATAAGGCAGAATACTGTTATTAATGTTTCAAACTCCTATAGGCATATCATATTGGAAGCATTTTTAATTGTTTGCAGATACAGCGACATAATGGAGTTAAGATGGTGGCAACTTGAGTTTGATAATCAGATAATAAACTTAAGCTTTAACATACAGTGATGGAAAATAGTATAGATTCAACAATTTAACATGAAAAATCTTGAAGCAAAACCTGTGGTGTACATTGCAGTGCTTTCTGCAGTATTCTATATTGTGAAAGCAGAAACTTGGAATCCTTCATTTACTTCTTAAAATGCTTTCTATCCATACTCTGTTCTCTTACAGTGTTAATGCAGTTTTGTTCTTCCGTGTCTCAACACGGTGTGATTTTTGTGATCAATGGAGAGATTCCATTTAAAAAACAGGAATCTTGCAATATATCACTTGAAGAGGCTATATTTGTCATTACTCACTTTTTAAAATTCACTTCAAGGCAATTGTTCCCGTGTCTAGTAACTTTATGTTTGCTGCAACAACTGAAATTCGTGGAATCAAGTTGCCGCTATAGAAGCGATCTCTTTAATACTTCATTTTGGGTCGAATGTAAGAGTGTCTGCAAAGAGAATCTTTGCCTGTTTGTTCTATGCAAAGTGTTTGACTTTTATGTCTTTCATTAAAATATGGGAACTTGCATACCTACATGTAAATTGCTTTTTCTTTTGAAAACCTGAATGTGAGTTTGAGGGGAGGGTGTTGGGACCAAAATGCTTTCTCCTTTTGATATGGCCTCTTTCCTTAGTAACTGGGTGCTCATTCATATGGTATAAGCTTGTACAAAGATAAAAATCAGCCTTTTTCAAACTTCTTGTGAAACGTGTATTTTTATTATTGCAAATATTAGTTCAGGGTACACAGCAAGAAAATTCTTGGAAGAAAAGGCACCCATTAGATAACTAACTATAGCAGCCTGGCCCATTGCATTTAAGGAAAATTATTTTGTTTGTTAAGAGATTATTTCTACATTCTTCACATTTTTCTGTAAAAGAAGATTAAACAGGAACAGGCTTGAGACTTGTGCAATTTATTTTCTCTTCACATTTGACTGTGACCTTTTGTGATACATGTGGACTGTAGATTTGATGTGAAATGAAAGTGATTTGCTAAAACTAAATTACTTTCACTATATCCCAGAACTTGCTTGACCATAAACTTGGAAATAATGATTTTACACTGTTGCAAATTTCCTCTTTAAGTTTGCTGGAGTATGAAAATCCATGAAGAAGGGAAGTTTATACATAATGATGGTGAAATGCATCACTCAGTGAAATGGAACATTGGTGAGCATCATCCTGTGTGGGAGACATGTTCAGTCTAGAATTAATAAACTCCTCCACAAGTAAGAACTATAACAAACCTTTCCACTTGCACTGAAAACAAGGAACTTTTATGTGACCTTACCTTCTTCAACTTCCAGCAGAGCAATGGATGTATTAGAAAGATATGAAGAGCCTTGTTCCTATGTGTGCTTTTTTCCTTGGCAAGAAACAGTATTTGTGAAGTCATAATGCACTGCAGCTTAGTGCAATAGGAGAACATACTCAAAATAGTCTAGGGGTAAGTATGGTATAAAAATACAGAAAATACACCCTCAAAAAGAGGAGAAACATCAGTGTTCTCTGCCTTTTTCCTGTTTGGTTGTGTTTTTTTCTCCAGTAATAATACTGATGTCCCCCATGTGCTTGAGGCTTACTATGCACAGTATTAAAATGCTTATCACATTATATTAAAGGATAGTAACTCCTTTGCTGTGATGGTTTTGAAATGATCACAGCCCCTCTTTTTCCTTTTATTTTTCTTTTGGTTTTGCGTATTTCTCTTCTTGCACCAGGAAGAACATAAAATGTTTAATTCTTAGAATAGAGGTTTTGTTTTGGTCTTTGCCTCTTCAGTCCATTTTAATGCAGATTAAAATTATTTGTAAAGTTTTGCAGTGCCTTGCAGAAACCCAGTGTTGTGTTGGCTGCAGCATGAATGTTTCAGGTTTCTGCTGCTAGTGCTGCAGATAAAATCAGCTGTAGCAAAGCTCTTCCTACGCTATTGTACCAACAGCTCTTGATCAAAGGGCATTGAAAGATTAAAAATAAAAGTAAAAATAACTGTGGTACCAAACCATCCCTGACCTGCTTCAGATTTGGGTATATGAAGTTCAGAGAATAGTTTGATTTTTGTTTTTTATTTTATTTATTTTACAAGAGAGATGAATACAACTGTTGGAAAAGAGTTAAGGAACCTTAGGAGGAATCAAGGGTATTTATTGACCAGACACTGAAACTGAACCGTTTGCTGTGCTGTACAGTTGTAATAAACACAGAGAAAACTGTTAGAATGACAGTTACGTTTATCATTCTGTTAAAAATCTCTTTTCAGTTGCTTTACTATTTACCCCTAGTTAAACCTGTACCTATTCTACCTACCCCTTATCAGATACTCATCTGACTGACAAGTAGGTGCTTACCAACTGCTACTTTGCCTCACTGTCTGGTCTTGTATCTGAATATGTGTTGTAGAACTTCACATTTATGAAAACAGCGTCTTTCAGTGAAAGGGATTTTTTATCAACTGTACTTGCCTTATGTTTTACAGATACTCTTTGTGTTAATCAGAATATTGATTATTGAGGGTACTTATGTAGCGTAAAATGAAGTTTGATTATTCAGGGGTTTAACTTAGTGTAAAATGAAGTCTGTGTTGTAAAAATCGTCATTCTGTAAAGATAAACAGTCATCATGTTTGCTGAAGGGAATATAGTCTGAGCAGTGTCAAATACAAGACTTTCTTGTTACAAACTTTTATGGTTATGCTTAGTCTTCTGAATAGTTTTATAAAGTATCCTGTGTAATCTTTAAGAAAGCATGCTATTTGCCAGACATTGTAATTTCATCTACTTCTAATCAACATCTCCTAGTTTACTCTTGCCATCTCGAATAGCTGGCTTGTGTTAAATGGCTGAGTAATGTAGCCATTAGGGGAATAATCTTACTAGTAAAGTCAACACAGTTCTGGGTAACTGAATGTGGCTGAGTCCTAAAGGTAAATAGGTTCATCTGCTCCAACCCCATCATTGAAGTTTATGAAGCAACCCATCAGTACTGCTGCCTAGTCTCATTTATAGCGTGCTTGCTTTTTCTAGAGAAGCAACTCCATACCTGAATAACTACTGTATTTTCCCACATTTTAGACAAGTTTCAAGTGTTGCAGACAGATCAGTAGCTGGCTGCTCTTTTTTTCATTTTGCTCTGGAGCTAAACTGAAATGTCTTGAGCAGTGGGACTGTATAATGAAGTCCAAAATACTGATTATGATGGGAGATTCCAATGTGAGTAAGAAATATATTTGCTAGCGGGAAGATGAAGCCTCTTCTCTAACTCTTTCAACAGAGGCTTAGGACTGTCTTCCCTGAGCTATTTGCTCTTCGTCTCTTTTGGCATCAGCCTCACAGTGATGGTGCATTTGTATAGGGAGGAACTGGAACTGCTGAGATACAGGCATGTGTTTCTTCTGTCTTGGAAAGGCAAAAGAGCACAGAAGGCAGGTAAGGCTAGCGAAGGCTTGAAGTAGTACTATTGTTTGCTCAATGCAGGAGAGCTGGATTTAAATTTATAATAAGAATGTTGGCCTCCTGCCAGTGAGGATCACATTATAACATTTTGGCATCACAAACACTATGCTGCTGCTGCTCCCAGAAGAAGATATTTTGACTTCCCTTACCTGCTCTGTCTCTAGCAGCTTGTTCCTTTGCAGTTAACCCCTCTTCTGGATTTAAAAAAAAAAAAAAAGAAAGAAAAGAAGTATTAAATTGATCACCTAACTGGGTCCTTTTCTGGATGTAGTTCAAAATATGGTAATATGGTGCCAGCTATAGGAAGGACTGGTGGGGAGGCAGAGAAACTTGGGAAAGAAATGGAGGACTATGTCATGGCCATGAAAAGGAGCTGTTTTGTTCCTTTTTAACGTGTTCAGAAGCTGTGTCTTTAGTGTTAACTAACAGTCACTTGTTAGCCTCAAGCAATACATCTAGAAGGTGAAAACCTCTTACTGCAATGAGGTATTGATTCTGGAATCCATGGAGAGTCTTACTGCCAAATTTCAGTCAATTGCTTGAGTAGACCATCCTAAGATGTGCTTATCCACTCCTCCTGACTTCCATCGCTTGTAAAGGGCTTGTGCTGAATGCTTCAGGAGCTAATACACTTTGCTGAAACTTCTGTCATCTATTTTTATACTCTTTTTCCATATCAGCAATTATACTTGTCCCTATAAGCTTTATTTTGCTCCAGTAGCATGACACATGATCTCAGAACCATGCCCCTGGGTTTGGGCTGAGCTCACCATGAGCCACTGTCATTAAGTGCTGGTCACTGATGTTGATGGATATTTTTTTTTTTTTTTATCTCAAAGTCAGTATTTAGCTCCTGATACTGAAGGTGTTCTGTTTTAGGGATTATGGCACAACAGATGTCTGTCAGGATGTACATCACCTCTGCGAAGCACTCTCAGGACAGTGCTCACAGTGCAGGGAGTGTGCTCTGTGCCAAGATGGCTTTGTGCAGAAGTACAAAGGATTGCATGGGCAGAGGAATGTGGGATGATTCTCCACAACCCTTGTCAGCTGCTTCTATAGTGAAGGAATTCTGACTTCAAAACCTACTGTTCACTAACCCTTCCTCCATCAGTGAAATCTATTTGCAAGATGCTAAAACTGACAAATGGCCATGAACTGGAGCATTAAGGCCAGGGAAACACTGAATGTTTTCCAAGCTGTGTAAGCAGCTGTGGCTCATTGATCTTGCTTGATGGTGCAGGAGCATCACACGTCAGCATTTTTCTTGGCTCTTTCCCTGTCCTTTAGCAGAAAAGGTAACCTTTTTAACTTTCTAGTTAAAGGCTCTTGGTCATAGCAGGTGTCTCATGAACATGGCTGACGATTTTGCCTACTGTGAAAAAAGTGCCTTAGCTTTGAGAGGCAGCTGCATCTCCATCATGTTGGCTCTGGAGTTCTTATTTAACCAGTGTGAATCAGAGCCTTGTGCCCTTTTTGGCTATGCTTCATCACATGGTCTTTCTTTAGCACAGTCCTCTTCAATCCTTTTTTTTTTTTTTTTTTTAAGATGACAATTTTTCTTTTAGCATTTTCTGCAGATGATTTCAGTGGAACATCTCAAAGCTCTCAAGCTGTGGCCCTTGATGTGCAAATCCTGAGTTTTATACGTGGTTCCCACTGGAAGTTTATGTGCCTGGGTGTGCAGCTTGGGGTCTTGTCCCACTGAAAACTTGCCTGTATTACCAGCATAATTATGTATGCCTATAATAACAATGTCTTACAACTTCCATTCAAGTAGATTTTCCTAGGTTTGTTTAGGGTGACCGAAATAAACCCCTAGCCCTTGTTTTGGGTAAATTTTGAGGGCTTGTCCAGGCTTTACAAGCCTCCAATTGTCTTAAATACCTTTGCCCACGTAGCTGGAAAGCAGCGCTTGAGTGCAGCTGTGCTGCAGTGGGGTGCATCAGCACAGCTCGCTGCTGCCCTCTCTGTATATCCGTTGCCCATCATCAGTGTCACTCGAAGGGTTTGCTAAACACGCTGTCACTCGTGCATTTTTACGCAATGGTTCATGGCTGCAAGCTTATTTTTAAATCTGTACAAAACTGATTACACTGCTGTAGTAATATTTACAGTCATGTGCTACTTAGACTGCGAGGATAGCAGTCATAGCTGTCCTGCTATGTACTGGGAGGTACTTCCTCACTGATTAACTTCGGGTAGCATCCTTCTTTTTTGCATGTCTTGACTTCCTGAAGGAAGAAGGTGGCTCCTGCAGAGAGCAGTCAGGCTGCACTGTGAGAAAAATGGACATCCTGAAGGTGGCAGACCAGCATTTTGGATAGTCCTAAAGTCGTATGTGGCCTGCTCAAGGTGGAGTTTGGGGAGCCTGTCCTACCGCAGGGCAGCTACTCCGGGCACGCCGGGGCTAAGAGGTTTTTTTTGAGCTAAGCAGCGAAGGAGCCATGATTGCCCGGCGGGGAACGTTCGCACTCTGCCCTTGATCATCGGAGATAACAAACCCGCAGTAAGCCAACAGCTCAGAGCCTGGCAGAACGAGTAGCGCTGCCCGGAGCGCTGAAGCCCTGCACTCACCAGGCCGCTGTGCCCCGGGCGGCACAGACCCACACCACATAAACCCTCCTACCCTTCCCTGCTTGCTCCTCCTGCGCGTGCGCAGAGGAGGAACGCTCTCCTCGTCCCGCCCGTGCGCCGTGACGCTCCCTCCTTCCCCGCCCGCCGCTGGCAGCGCAGCTGACGTCACGAGTTTCGGCGGAGGGGGAGGAGGAGCTTTCGGTTGGCAGCAGGAGCGGTAGCGGCTACCGGCGCCTCACGCCTGACGGGATTCCCCCCGCCACCACCCGACGCCCGGGCTCGGTCCGGCCCGGCCCGGCTCGGCGCGACGCGGCCCGGGTCTGTCGCGGCGGCAGCGTTCCGGGAACCCCTTTCCCACTCGCCCCCTTACGGGCCTGCCGCGGCGTGCGGCTCCCTCCGTGCCGGCCTCGGTGCCTCCTGTCACCCTCCCCGCCGTGCCCCCGGGCGGGCAGGCCTCTGGCCCCTTCCCCCCCTCCTCCGGGGGGGTGGGCTGCTTTCCGGAATCCTGGCCGCTCCCTCCCCGCCGCCCGCCCAGCCGGGCCTGCGCCCGCCGCCCCCGGGCAGTGCGGGGGGTCCCTCGCGGGCCCCGGCCTCCGCTGTGACACAGGTTGGTGCCGGCGGGGCGGGCGGGAGTCGCTCTGGGGAAGGGCGGGCGGGAGCGGCCCGGATGCGGTGTGCTTTTCAAGGGGGCGGATTTGTCAGAGCGCGTTGAAGGGGCCGCTTCGGTGTCCAGGAGGTGTCGGGCCGGATTGGGGGGTTGCGGGAACCGCACTGCTGAGAGCCTCTGGGGGCACCGGCCCTCGGCAGATGGAGGTACGCGGCGGGGTAGCTCTTTGAGGTGGGGGGGGGGGGGGGGGGGGGGGGGGCGGGCGAGGGGCTTATTAGGCATTTACGTTAGAACTGCAGAATCCCAAGGATTTTACGAGCTCTACAGATATTTGTATGTCACCGTAAACCTTGCTGTGATTGCATACTGATGCTGTAGCATCCTGTCTTTAAATTGCTCTACAGTGATAGCAGCACTATGATTTGGGTATGTAGGTCAGATTCTGTGAGATATTTTTGTCAGAGGAAAAGTGAACGTTGGATTATTTTTTCCTTGTATTTGAGGTGCATTGCAGCACCCATGAGGTTGGATGGATTTGGGGTTTTGGATTTAATTTTTTTTTTTTTCTGGCTTAATTTTTTGCCTCATAAAGCTGGTTATATTTTTTGGTTGTGGAATTACTGAAGATCAAAGCATTAAATAAGCTGAGTGCTTCAAAGATGTATTGTATCATGAAATGTCCTCCAAGAGGGTTGTAAAAGATAATAGAAACCTGCTTTGAAGTAAGGGGAATTTCTGGTCTGCAGAAAATGTTTCTCAGCTATAGCATTTCTTTTCTTTAAACAATGCAGCACGTTGCAGAGTGTGAGAGGCCTTCAGTAATGTGTTGCTATGCATATGGCAAAGATGTAGTAGTATTTGCAGAATAAATTTCTACATGCTTGTCTTGCACTGCATCTTGGATTCTCTGATGGCATAACATTTATTAGCAGAATACCCTAGAAAGTGCTCTTTCCTATGGGGTTCCCTTATGGATCTTTTTAAGTGGATGGGCAGTGATATAAGTTAGTACTTAGGCCACACTGAAAAACCTCAGAAGAATTTTTTTGTTTTGGTTCCCACTCTTCATGGAGCCTGTCACTGTCACTTGAAAATGAGAGAAATACTGCATGAGGAAATTTTATTGTCACGTATGCCTTTGCTGATTTTGGAAGTAACTGCTTTCCTCAGGAATACATTTAAAAATGAGAACTTGCTGGAATTCTTGTTTTCTTCACACTTTGTGTTTGTCACAATTGTCACAGAAATGTATTGAACCCAAATATTAATTCGGATAATGTGAGGCTGTATACAATTAATTTGAGGTTTTTCCAAGGTTCTGTTGCATTTTGATAAAGCAGAATAGCAGGGAAATGTTTATCAAATGACTTGCTGCTGGAGGAAGATCTGTGTACAGTTTGTCTTGATGAACTCTGTCGGTAGTTTGCCTGACACTAATGGAAGACTATGGTGAAGAAAACAGATGTTTCTGAATGGCTTGTCTTGGCTTGCTCAGATTTCTAAACTGTCAGAAGAAACTTTTCTGAAGATAGCTGTGGCATCTGGTAGTATTGAGAGCTTTTATATATATGTGGGTAGGCAGATACCTGCAACGGGTAGACTTTATTAATGTAGGTTAACAAGAGCATACCGTGTTGTTTAATATCATGGTAGAGAAGCTTTTTGTAAAATGTTGATAAAACTCTAGTTATTTCAAAAAATGCATAGCCTTTCAAATGTGGTCATAGACCCATCAGTGTTTTTTTGCTGTGGTTCTTGGGAAAGCGCATAAATGAACAGACTTGTGGAATTTAGAGCCTATTGTGGCTAAATGCATAAGAATTACCTTTTTATTATAAAGGTAAAGCTTTCTTCTGGAGAAAGCAAGGAAGTTGGTCATGCTGTAAATTTAATTCACATTTATATTTTTTACTTTAAATTTTTTCTTATAAATTCCTAAAATACAATGTTAACATTTAGGTGCAAATTACAGTTATTGGTTTTTAAACCTTTATCATTCTTAGGTATTCATGGAGCACGTTTTGAAAAAACTTTGTGTATTAGTAATCTTAAGTTTCATTTTATGTTTTTCATCTTTATTATCTTTACTGCAGGCTGACTTTTTACCACAGTAAGCTGTCAGAAGTAGTGAGTAAGATGTAACATACTTTTTGATGGATTATTCAGTGGCTCTCTAGCTGAGCGTTCTCTGAACTGAAAATGTTTTTTTAGGAAATACAACCTGAGAATTATAGTAGTAATTCCCTTCACTGATTCCCCCTCTCCCACCAAACACACAACCAAAGGTGTTTTGATCTATCCAGAGGTACACATTTGGTTTGTAGTAATGAATGTATTTTCTAATAATTTTGTTTTAGATTGTTGCTCTTCACATTAGTCTCTTTTTAGACTACTCTTGGAGAAAAAGCAGTAAATTAGGAAAATGTGACTGAGCAACATAATTAAGTACATCTTGTTACTTTTGCAGGGCTTATTTTTCATGCGTATGATAAAATAATGTAAATATATATATTGACTACTGACTCTGCCTAGGCTTATCTAATCGGCAAAAAACTAAGTTTGAAAGGTTAATTTCTAAACTTAAGCTTTCTAAATTCTGAAGTAGAAGTGACACAGTATTAAAAAACAAAACAAACAGACAAACAAAAAAAGGCCACAAAAGCCCCAGTGAATTCTATTAAGTACGCTGTTTTTTCTATGGGAGAGAATAAAAGTCTTTTTTTAAAACAATAAATACTGCATTTGCTCTTTTAATAGTTTGGTGTGTTGCAGTGCTAAGGAATTACATGTAAACATATAATTGGGCAGTGGGAACATGCTCAGAATGTGGTGCAGTCCTGATTCTCACTTCTGGATCGTAGTGTGACATCTTGATTTAGTAATACAGTAATAATAACAAATGCAGCTTATGGCTGTATTAACTGATTTCTTAGTTTAATATGCTGTTTGCATTTTATTTTCTGAGGTGTCTTTAATATATTCACCTTGTGTAGTTTCTGAGGAGCTGTAGAAGGTTTGGTGACAATAAGAAAAGGAAAGGTGGAATTCTGTGAGGATATTACATTGATTTCCACCTGTGCGATCCACTTCTCTAGGGATACTTGACCCAGAAATATATATATGGCATAGTTTAGAGCCCAGCTTAATGAGGTCATTTGAAGTTGGACTTACTAGAGCAAGGCCAAAGCGAGGGGTATCTTCAATGTGCTTTAAAAACTGGGAGTTGGGAATTGGTAATGTAGGGGGGCCTGTAAAGATGTGACTTTTCCCTGTCCATTTGCAAAGTCTTTTACTTACCTTAATTTCTGTATCTCAAATTATTGCATGTTTTTGAAATTATACTAGCAAACTGTAACTTAGTTTTTCGCATGATAGACAAAAATAATTTTCTTCAGGCAGCAGGTATTTTTCTTTGCTGTAGCTTTGTTTTCAGCCATATTTTTTGTTCTTTGAGTCCTTTACTATGTTATCCTCACTTGCTTTTCTTTCTGTATTTCCATTCAATCATTTGTCCACTTCTGTGGATTATCTGCAGTAGTAAAGGATGCTTCACAAAGTACACTATCAGTCTGACAACAGCAATGTGATAAAATTCAAATGTTTCAGATATTTATGTTGCAAGGACTGTACTTCTAAAGCTTAGGTATGGTAACATGGATAAACAGTTGTCATTTGGATAAATGAAGAAATTATAGATGTGTAAGAAGGGAAGGGATTTCATGAAGTCAGCCCCTGCTGTGTTTTCGAAACAAACACACTGAAATCAGGTCTGACAGGCATTTGTCTGATCTACTCTTAAAAAATTCAAAAGAGAGGAATACCACACCTCTTCACAGATCTATTTGTAGCTAGTACATAACTATTGTTATAGTTAGGAGGCTTTTTTTTAATATTTAACTTAAGTCTCTGTCTTCATGCTATTTGAGCCAGTTAGTTCTTGTCCAAGCATTATTACTCATGCAGGATAATGATTTATGTACTCTTTGCACCAATGGTTTGCATATGTGAAGACTCCTTCTCCTTTTATTTCAGACTTCTCTTTACTAAACTGTGCAAACAGGCCTTTTCTTCACAGATCGAGTTTTCTCAGGGTTGTTGTTGTAACCTCTGTTGGACTCTGTGTGATTTGTCTATATCTTTTTCAAAGTTCCCCTGGCAAAGTCTTACAGCACCAGAACAATTAACTTACTCTGTAAGTTGCAGGAGAAGTAACATGACAGCCTTATTAAAATGTCATTCTGGGGTGTGTGTCTGCAGGTATGGTAGAGGCTGGTGCTTTTTTTGGTGTGTTTTTTATATGTTTTTTGTGGGGTTTGTTTTTTGGGTTTTTTTTTGGTTGGTTGGTTGTTTTTTTGGGGGGGGGGGGGGGGTGTAGTTATTGGGGTTTTTTGGCTTTTTGTTTTGCTCCTGCATGTTAACACAGGAGCTTGTATTACTGCTTGTTAGATCAGGTATCCCTTTCTTCATACGTATGAGTTTGAATTATCTCTCTGAAGAATAGCACCTTATACTATATTGAATTCAGTCTTTATTTCTGGTTAGTTTTCTTATAGTAAGCATTTCTAGACTCAAACCAGGATCACTGTTCAATAAATTATTCTACAGGAAAATGTGCAGTTTCTGCTCTTCCACATCTATTTGCCAGCACATACAATCCCTGTGGCTTTTGAACATATACCCTGCTCTGTAACAGGAAACTTGATTGAGAACAAGTTCTCCTAGGGTTAGATGCAGCTTTTATTGGCAAAAGTGTGTCATTACCAGCCTGTTTTATACATGTACTGTCTTTCAAGTAAGTCATTTTGCTAAGGTAACTTCTGTCAGTCCAGCAGTACATGAACAAGCCTTTTGCTATTCTGAGACGTCATACAGTCCAATGACACAGTAGAAGAAATTTTTATTATATAGGCATGCCTTATTGGAAGAATTGCAGAGTGAACTATGGAGCAGATGTATTCAGCACATCTGTTATGCTGTTATATATACCCTGGCTTACACCA